GAACATTTTAATGTCCTACAAATCAAAGTAATTTATCTTGAAGGCAGATATAATTTGAGAATCCTGTCACCAGTTTTGATAGTATTGTTGACCTAAAAGCTTCAGAGGCTCCTACTATGTTCAAAGATGGCTAAAGAATGTTGCAAAAAGAATTTGACATCATGGTTCTGAAATTATACTTGTTACTTTGATAATACTTAACATCTTATATTTTTGTTTTGTTGCACTTAATATATTCTTAAGTGCTTTAGAATACATTGTTTCATTTAAATCTTACAACAGCCAGGATATATGATTATATTTATTACCACCTCCATTCTGCAGGTGAGAACACGGACTTTTTTTTGTTTTTGCGAGGCAGTTGGGGTTAAGTGACTTGCCTAGGGTCACACAGCTACTAAGTGTCAAGTGTTTGGTCTGAGGCTGAATTTGAACTCAGATCCTCCTGACTTCAGGGCCGGTGCTCTATCCACTGAGGCACCTACCTGATCCTTTTTTATTTTTGGTTGGACAATGGGCGTTAAGTGACTTGCCCAGGGTCACACTGCTAGTAAGTGTTATGTGTCTGAGGTCACATTTGAACTCAGGTCCTCCTGACTCCAAGGCCAGAGCTCTGTCCACTGAGCCACCTAGCTGCCCCACATGGACATATTTTTAAGAAAACCACTACGGCACCAGAGAAAGGGGGAAAGGAAAATATTACTTCATGATTTATTAAATGAATGCACAGTATGCACTGTAATACAGAACACATCCTTTCTGATTAATTCACAAACTTAAATCTGTAAACTCTTGAACTTTCCAAATAATTTAGAGTAAGAAAGAATAATTTTTCTTGCAATAAAATGTGGGAAATGATGTCTCAAAGTAATTTTTCAAAATATTTCAATAATTTGGAAGAGTAACATTCAATATATAATGTTAATTGAATCCCACTGATTTCAGAATTCGATCGGCATACCACTAGGGATTGGCCTCAAGTTCCTTTCATTTAGCAAATAATTTTTCTTTAAATTAGTAAATATAAACAAAATTTTAAGGAGAAAAATCCTCAATTTTAAGAGAATCAACTTTTGATTTAAAGTACCTGAAAACCATTCACTCATTGACTTCAAAACAATTGATATTCTAATTGCAAATGACTCGTTCTTAATCTATTAGGAACTCTATTATGTCACAGTTTGGTTTGAACTGAGTTCAATATTTCTATACTTGAAATTGATATTTAATTTCTTTTAAAATTCTATAATTTGGGTTTATTAATTCAGATTGACATAATTCCCAATAAGTCCTAATTAATGACATTTTAAAATATTTTATTCTTATTTTCTCTCTAAAACAGATTCTGAATTCTGAAGACAGGCAGATTCTACTATTACATAAGTTAGCACATTCTTTTTGATAAGAATACCCTGTTAGTACTACAACCAGTCATAGTTTTTCTGTTTTTGGCAAAATACAAGCCCCTTTTATTTCCTTCTGTACCATCTCCTTCTAATGACCACGGTTCTTATAAGTGTCCTGTAATGTCTTTTACTATGATTCAACCGTACCAAAACACTGTTACTCCAACTGAGTGAGACAGCAATGTTCCTCCACACTGCCCCCCCCCAAGTCAATTTCACTATTCTTTTTCACACAAGCTATAATAGAGTTTGGAGGCACTGATTCATTTGGAGATGATTGAGACTCAGCTGTAAGTACCTCCGCACAGTCACTTTATGTGGCAGTAAGAGAGATCCTAACCTGAAGTCTGAGGATTCACTAATGCCAGTTGTTTTTCTGGACTGCAGCCTTCCAGGAGATAATAATATAAACTTTACATCCCAGACTTGTTGATTAGGATAAGCAAGACTGCGAGGCAAAGCATAGCCCACCATAATCCTTGGTAGCTTTGCAAGTCCCAGGTCGAAGTCGGATGCTACAAGGCCAGGAACAACAGAAGACTTATATTTGAGCCATGGTCCTTTTTCTTTTCACCTAGGTAAAAAGGAATCTTGAGAGGTAGTGTATCCTAGTGGATAGAGAGTTGTTCTGGAACCCCAGAAGAAGAGGATTCAAGTCTTTCCTCTGACACATACTGAGTGACCCTGGGGCAAATTGCTTAACTTCTCAGTATTTTAGGCAGCTAAAAACTACACGTTGTCAGGAAGTTGCAGACCTTTGTTACTAGATGTCTGTACTCCTAAAATCAGAGATCTAAGGCCTATCCCTGACAGAATAATATTCATATAGCGTTATATATGTGTTTCACCCTCTTATTTCATTTTACTCTGTACTACATTTATTGTATGGCTTCTGTGCTTTCATTGTAGAGTAATGCATATTTGTATATGTGAAAGTTTCCCTCTGCTAGGTTGTAAACAATGTGAATGCAAGGTCCAGCTTTTTATTATCTATTTCTTAGCGCCAGATAAACATAATTAATAGTTTTTGCCTGCTGGTTTAATCTCCTGAGCCAGTTCTCTTAGAGGGATTTAATGCACTTACCTCCCAGATATTAAGGTCAGGGCAATCATATCATCCTAAGTCAACCTGAAAATAAAAGGCAAGCAGGTAGGATCAGGTATAAAAAGAATAATTATAAGCTGCTGTGGAGTCTATTTAGGGCAGCAGTGCATAGAGTACCAGGTCTGGAGTCAAGAAGACTCATCTTCTTGAGTTCAAATCTGGCCTCAGACACTTACTAGCTGTGTGACCCTGGGCAAGTCACTTAACTTTGTTTGCCTCAGTTTCCTTCTGTGCAAAATGAGCTAGAGAAAGGAAATGGCAAACCACTCCAGTATCTTTGCCAAGAAAAACCCAAATGGGGTCACAAAGCATCAGACAAGACTCAACAATAATAATGAGTCTATTTTATCAACACCTCTCTTGAGAGACAATATTCTGAATAGTAAGCAACCGTGGGTAACACCCCTTATTTGCTGTCTTTGTGCAAGAGACAGTAAAACCAAAAAATTGTCCAGGAGAGTTTTAGGTAAATACAATAGTATTTCTACAATGGCTTAATTTTTATTTCAGAAACATCTCTGTCATTCATGAGTGATCTTTATGCCTTTTTATACTGTAGTGTCTCAGTCTTCCTTTTGATCAACCAGTGAATCAACAAACCTTCATTAAGTGTATACTTTGTGCCAGGCACTGTGCTAAACACTGGTAATACAAAAAGAGACAAAAGACAGTCTTGCCCTCTAGGAGCTCACAATATAATGGATTAGATAATGATATAGAGGCAAATGATGTGGAAAGAAACTTCTAAGTAAGCTAATGATCACAACCTTCTGATTATTTTTTTTTCTAATGCAATTCAGTTAATTTAAAGGGAGAGAGGCCCACTTGAATCTGTAAACCTTCATTAACCAGCGCAAATTTATTAAGGATCCCATTTGGGCAAGATGCAAAAAGTCCTGTCCTTATGGAGTTTATGCTATCTTGATGATAAACAGAAAATAAAAGTTGAAGAACTACTGGTTTTTTCCTAATAAGAAAACCTTTCTATTCATTATCAACAAACTTTTACTGAACATAGGCTATATGCAGGATCCTGTGCTCGGCATAGTAGGGAAAAGAAAAACAGCACAAAGCTTATAGTCTATTACTAACCAATTACCAAATATTTATTACTGTGTGCTGGGGATACAACTATAAAACATAAAAATCCCTACTCTCAAGGAATTTACATTCTATTGGGAGAAATGGCACACATCTCATCCTACTTTGAAACTGGAGTTGTTAAAGTGTTTGTAAGGTGTGAAGAGAGGGCATAGGTCACAAAATTATAGAATGGCAAGTGGAACTTACCCTAGTGAATAGAAGGCTGGACCTGGAGCCAGCAAAACTTGAGTTCAAATCCAGCCTCAGACGCTTCCTGGTTGTATGACCCTAGGGAAGTCATTAAACCTCTGCCTCAGTTTCCTCAATTGTAAAATGGAGGTATTATTAGCACTTACCTCACAGGATTTTGGGAAGGGTCAAATGAGATGATATTTGTAGTGTTTAGCACATAGTAGCCCTTAATGAATGCTTGGTTCCTTCCCCTTTCCAACTAGCCAAAATCTCAGAGAGTTTGTGACTTGACAGAGGTCACGTTAGTAGTTAGTTTCAGGGCCAGGACTTGACCTGTAAATGTATCACCTTTAAGGTTTGCAAAACACCTTAGATGCATTATTTTACAGCTCACAACTCTGTGAGGTAGCAGCTATGATCGCCATTTTACAGAAAAGGAAACCAAGGCCCAGAGGTTTAAATGCCTTGCCCTGTGCCACGCAGGTTGTCAGTTAGGGGTAGACTGGAAGCCAGGTTTTCCGAAAGCCAAGATCTGTGCTCTTCCCATGACGACTGCAGTGGAAAAAGCACTAGGCATGGAGTCAGGAAGACCCGAGTTCAAATGCGACCTCAGATACTTAGTAACTGCGTGACCCTGTTTGCCTCCCTTTCCTAGGCTGTAAAATGAGCTGGAGAAGGAAATGACAAACCACTCCAGTATCTTTGCCAAGAATACCCCAGTGGGGTCATGAAGACTCGGACAGGACAGAAATGATTGATTCAAACAGGAAGAGCATCAAAGGAAAAATCACAGAAGGGGGGCCTCGCTTCACTCGGGTCTTTCTGTTCACTCACTTCAGTCCTTCCCCAGGACGGCTTCCCCCTGAGGCGCAGATGAGCACGTGCTGGGGGCGGGGCTTGGGAGCAGTCGCTCCCCAATAGCGGCGCGCCAGAGTGCACACTCCCCCCCATAAGCCGGGGCCGCCCTGCCTTCGGCCCCGCCCCTTAGCCCTAGCACTCGGCATTTCTCTCGCTGCGCGCTCGGCTTCGTGGCGTCATCAGGGCGCGACGCCGCATCTGGTGCCCCCGCGATTGCGGGGGCGGCCGCGGCGGCGGCCGAGATTAGAGAGAGGGACAGAGAGAGGGACTGAGAGAGGGAGCGCGCGCGCCGCTGCAGCCACAGCTGGAGCAGGAGCTGGAGCCGGAGCCGGAGCCGGGGCCGGGGCCGGGCAGCGAGGCGAGGCCCGGCGCTGCTGGTGGGTGTCTGCGAGAGGAGGAGGAGGAGGAGGAGGAGGAGGAGGAGCTGGAGCTCAGCGGGCTCCGGGCTGGCCGTACGTTGGCTGCGGCGCTGCGGCTTGGGGATCGGGGCTCCTTTGTCTTTCTCCTTCCTCCTCCCTTCTATTCCCCCGGGCGGGGCCCTCGCCAACCTGTGAGAACTGCGGTCATTCTTCTGCGGCTTCTTGGTGTATGCCTGGGCTCTGGCTCTGCTGCCCTTCCGTTCCCTCCCCAGGGGGCACGTGCGAGGCTGTGTCTTTGAACTGTGTCACCCCCGGGGCACTCGGTGGGGGGGAGGGGAACGGTGCCTTTGACCCGTGTCACCCGTAGTGGCACGTGGAAGGTGGGCTGTGCCTTTGCTCAAGGAGACGGGCATCTGTGCAGGAGCTCTGACTCAACCCCATGGGGATCCCAAGTTCAGTGGCTCCTACCCCTGGCTTGTTCTGCCCTATCCACAGCGAGGTCCTCTTCAGAAGGGAAAGCTGGGGTCTGAATTCCCCAAGGGTCAAGAGAGGGAGACACATCCCCATTGTCTCTTAATGAGGAGAAGCCTCACATCTTCTCTTTGGATGAAAGGGATCTGAACGGGTTGGGTAGTTTTGTTTTTTTTTTTTAACCTCCTTATAGGAATTGCAGTGAAACTTCTCCAAGCTCTTCGCCTCACTCCCCTAGTGATGCAGGAAAAAAAATATGTAGGGTGTGTGTGTGTGTGTGTGTGTGGAGGTTGATGGTGCCCTCTTCCCTGAAAGATAGTGTTGAAATAAGTATTGAAGAATTGTGAGAATGGATGGTACACATGCCTAATACCGAACCAACTCCTCATGTTCAGAGGGTTTTTCCCTCCCACTCGTTAACACTTTCAGGCAGGCAGCAACACCTAGAAGGAAGTCCAACTGGGATCTTTCCTACATGAGCTTGTGTGAAGACGTTGCATTTCTCTTGGGCAAAAAAATCTTTCACATCCCGGCTTTCTCCTTGGCCTTCTTCTCCATCACCTTTGCAATTTAGTTCCGTAAACTTCAGTAGAACAAATTCGTTTTTCCTGGCATCCTGTTATCGCTATTATATGGGAATACTCAAACCAAAAACTGATACACAAATGCTGAGCTTTTATTTATAGAGGAACTTTAAAGCCTGATATGTATTTTTACTCTTATATCCTTTCTTATTAGATTGTTATAGTTACTGGAAGTACTTAAGAACATAAGTATTATTGGATTAAGGGTGATGACTGTCAGACTATTTTAGATAAATGCCTTTAAGTATTAACTAAGTGGCAGTGATTACTGTGGGCATTGTGATGTAGATTTTTTAAAAAAATATTAAATCGAACTATACTAAAATGACTGATGTAAGACAATTAGCACAGAATAAATTAGAACGTTTTTATATCTTATGTATTTGTTGCTATACTTCCTCTTCTTGCAGTGTGTCATATAAGAAACTCTATAATGGTAGAGCCTTCTGAATATAATTGCTTATTGGAAAGGGAGAAAGTGAGTGAAGATCAATTGTGTTCAGTTTTGGGGTCTGCATCTTAAAGATATAAAGAGGTGACCAGAATAGTGTAAAAAATCATGCCATATCAGGATTTGTAGAAGGAACTAGAAATATTTATCCTTGAAAACCGAAGAGTTAAGAAGCAGTTCAAGTATTGGAAGAATTGTCATGTAAAAGAGATTAAACTCCTTCTGTTTGGCCCTAAAGGATAAAAGTAGGAACATTGGGTGGATGTTTCAGAAAGGTACATTTCTGCTGATATAAGAAAAAAAAAAACTTCTTAGCAGTCATAACTGTCCAAAAGTGCCTTGCCTTACTAAACTGTCTTATCAGTGAAGTCTGTGAACACTTGTTGATGATGTTGTAGAGGTCATTTATAACCTAAATGACTAGATGGCCTTGGAGGTTCCTTCTTTCTCTGACTTTGTGAAATCTGTGAAGTTAAACTTGAGATGTGTTAAAAATACTATGCTTTTGGCTAGGAAATTAAACTAATATTGGTTATTATCTTTATTTCTAAATTATCATCTGTCCTCTCCCCAGATATCCATTTCAACAAAGGATAAGGAGGAGGAAAAAAGTTCTGTAAACGAGGGAGGTGGGTATGTTTTCTTATTTCTTCTTCAGGGTCAGGTTGGTCATTATAATCAATTTAATAGTGGTAGTGGTATGTCTGGTTTGGGTAGATTTTGAAAGATGTATTAGCACAGTGACTGTTTTATTTATTGTTACAGCTCAATCGGAGGTTATAGTCAACTAAGTCGAGAGGGTAACTTTCAAGCTCTCTTGAGTTTCCTTATCAGGTTCTTTAGACTTTTTTTTTTAATGTTTTATTTTTCTTTCTTTATTTTTGTCACAATAACTCATGAAAATAGCTAGTGGAGGGAGTTGTAATCTGCATTAGTGAAATCATGGCTCCTTAAAGTAATGATGTAAGATTTGCTTTATGAACTTAAGTATCCATAATTTACTAGCTTTTTCTTTAAGGAAAACATTGATTCATCTTGAAATGAACCATTATTTATATAGGTAAGTGATTATAGGAAAGTTTAGAGTACCCCGAATTGTAAATGTATTCATCTATTTTTAATGTGTGCTAATCATACATAGGACATTATTTTTGGTTACAGTACATCATTGAATTCTTTGACTTAGTAATGTACTTGAGATCACATATACACACACACCACATATATGTATATATATACATATATATCTATATATCTATATAAAATCATAGATTTAGAGCTGGAAACAGCCTTTACCACTTCTTTCCGTTTTATAGATGTGGCTCAGAGAGTTTATAACTTGCCTAAGGTCATAGGTAGTGGAAGACAGATACAGAACCAAGGGCTTCTATTTCCAAATCCAGAACTCTTTCCATTAAAGCAGTTTATCTCCCTCAAAGCTTTCAATTTGTCCTGTTCGCCTACCACTTTAGAAACCCTGCAACAGTTCAAGTGACATTCTGACAAGGAACAAATGATTTGCAAGTCATTGTTTTACTAAGATACTGGAAATATCTCACTCATACATAATTTTATTTTATATAGCACATGGTTTGGGATTTTAAGTTGGTGTCATGGATGAGTCTGTGCTGTCCCTTGGTACGATAGATGTTTCTTACCTGTCAAATTCTTCAGAATACAGTGTCAATAGATGCAAACACTCAGGTGAAGAATGGGTAAGTTTAAACTTTATCGCTATGCCATCCCCTTCCCCCCCCAATGAAGCATAAGATTAATTTCAGTTGGTAATTGGGCAAACAGTGACCTCATAAAAATTGAAATGAAAATGGGTTATGGCAGAAGAGTAAAATTATCATACTGGTTGTGCCACTGGCGTTTAACTATAGTTTAATAAATTAAAAATTTGTGCCTGTGCCAAAGTAAATGAATGTATAGGTTGTTTAGGATTTTTTTTCTTTGATTACTAAATCTTAGAATTCAAAGAAAGTATGTATTTTTCTGCTATTCAGACCCTTTTCTCTTAATTTTTACTAGGGAGATTGTGGTTTCAGACCCACTGTCTTCCGATCAGCAACTTTAAAGTGGAAAGAAACTTTAATGAACAGGAAGAGGCCATTTGTGGGACGATGTTGCTACGTGTGTACGCCCCAGAGCTGGGTAAGCCTTTCAGTGATAAGACATTGAGGAAGGTGTTTTATATGTTACAGTTGGGATAAATTCGATATTTCAGGGATTTAGTATTTTTGACTCACTTTTAACTATTTATAATCCATACTTATGCTGCCAAATGTGTTAAGTGGTATTTTCTCTGCCCACATCTCTTATAGTGCTGTTATACCCCAAAGGAATAGTATATATAACTTTTCAGAGTGTCTTTGGAAGAAATAGCTCAGGGGGTTAAGGAGAAAACAGTTTGACATTGAGCAGTATTAAACATTGTAGCAAGAAAAATTGTAGGGGTAGAACAGAACAGAAGTGACTGCGAAGGGCAAACAGTGTTTCAAGTAGCTGCTTTGCTGTCCTTCCTTTAAGGCCTCCACTCCCAGGGAATGTCTACTGATTTTTGCTATGGAATGGGGGTAGAGGGGGGGCAGAACATAGTATTGGGAAGTCTCCCATTTTAGACAGATATTTATCAGAATGAAGACTAAAAAATAAAAGTAACAAAAAAAGTAAAATACGTTCAGATTCTTTGTAAGAGACAAGAACTATGTGTAACAACTTGTGAGTTCCTGGGATAGTATTTTAGAAGGACCAGTTAGAGAAAAATACAGGAATGTGTCAGAATAAGGAATTCTGGAACTAATGCAACAGTGTTCCAAGTCTGTGGGAAAAGCCTCTTAAAAAAATTTGAGTTAAGTTCAAATGTTAAGCTTCTTTGTCCTTCGATTCTTATTGAGAAGGAAAATGCTGCCATTCATGCCTGTAATGTGTCTATGTGAATAGATCACTATGCTGAGTGTGAGTTTTCTACTTAATGTCCTTTTGGCAGCAAAAGAAGTGAAAGATGTGACAGAAAGGAAGGGATTTACAGCCATGGAAGAAAGTTGTGTGTGCCACTCAAGCTTCTCCTAAAAAAAGCTTAGTGATCCTCAAGAATGTTCCATCCCTAAGCCACTGTGTTCCTTTGAAACCCAAAGGTGGTAGCTTGGATTCAGGAAAGATGACAGGGGATTTTTGCAGATAGGGGCCAGTCTTTGTCTATTGGAGCCTGTTGGGAGCCAGAATTTCTTTTGGAAGTGTCCTGATAAGCTTTGTTAGGTACTGGCCCTCTCTTTTTACCTGCAAGGCATTGGTAAAAGGATATGAAGTGAGAAGAGTCTCTGCCCTCAAAAATAATAGAAGAGATAAGACACAGATACACACAAAGACACACACACACAGACACACATGATGTTCAGTGAGAGTATTATGTGATCTTTGCTGATTAAGAGATCAATTTTAGCTGTGAGGATCAAAGAAGAGCTGACACCCGAAGGGAGGGAAGGATTTCAGCACGTAGAGATGGGTGAATGGGTAGAAAGTTCATTTCAGGCATTGGGGACCATATGAGCAGTGGTAAAAGGGACAAGAAAGGACAGGATGGGATTGGAAAATTTTAAAGGGCCCAATTTGACTGAAATATAAGGTATATGAAATGTAGGAGTAATATAAAGGATTTTTAACTAGCTTCTCCAATAACTCACTTTCCTTACTGAGAAGAAAAGTCACTACCATTTTAAAATCTACCCATAAAGAAAGGACCTTTCACCAAATGAGAAAAAGTTCTCATTTAAAATGGTAGCCTGAACATGGGACTTATAAATGTCAACCCCTGATATCCAGTCCATCTTAAATATCCTCTTGGTAGCCTTGTCGCAGTAACTTAGACTCTCTGCAGCTTCTTCCTTTCCTTTTCTTCCCTTAAAGTATGTAATTCCCTTTCCCTTTAAAAGGAGGTAACTTTCAAAACAGGTAGCTTTTCAAAGGTCAATTTAAGTTAATGAAAGAGGGGCAGTATGGTATAATGGTAAGAGCCAGGTCTTTGAGACACAGTTCACTTACCTTGAGGGTTTAGGGAAATTTCTTAACTTCTCTGTCTCAGTTTCCTTGTTTGCAAAATAAGAATCATTCCAAAGTGTGTGTATGTGTGTGTGTAATTATGTAATTTATTTATTTTTAGTTTTCAACATTCACTTCCATAAGATTTTGAGTTTTAAATTTTCTCCCCCTTCTACTCCTCCCTCTCTAAGACAGTGTATAGTCTGATATAGGCTCTACCTATACATTCATATTAAACACATTTTCACATTAGTCATGATCTAAAGAAGAATTAGAACTAATGGGAGGAACCTCGAGAAAGAAGAAACAAAACAAAACAACAGAAGAAAAGGAGAGAAATAGTATGTGTCCATCTGCATTCAGACTCCAAAGTTCTTTCTCTGGTTGTGGATAGCATTTTCCGTTGTGAGTCTTTTGGAGTTGTCTTAGATCCTTGTATTGCTGAGAAGAGCTAAGTCTATCAAAGTCAGTCATCAGCACAATGTGGCTGTTACTGCGTATAATGTTCTTCTGGTTCTGCTCATTTCACTCAGCCTCAGTTCATATAAGTCTTTCCAGGTTTGTCTGAAGTCTGTCTGCTCATTATTTCTTGTAGTACAATAGTATTCCATTACATTTTTATATCACAACTTGTTCAGCCATTCCCTTATTGATGGACATCCCTTCAATTTCCAATTCCTTGCCATCACAAAAAGAGCTGCTATAAACATTTTTGTACATGTGGGTCCTTTTCCTGGTTTTTTTTTTTCTTCATTTTTTTATTTTTTAGGCAATTGGGATTTAGTGACTTGCCCAGGGTCACACAGCTAGTAAGTGTCAAGTGTTTGGTCTGAGGCCAGATTTGAACTCAAGTCCTTCTGACTTCAGGGCCAGTGCTCTATCCACTGCACCACCTAGCTTCCTTCTTTTTCCCATTTTTATGATTTCTTTGGGATACAGACCTAGAAGTGGTTTTGCTGGATCAAAGGGTATGCACAATTTTATAGCCCTTTGGGCATGTTCCAAATTGCTCTCTAAAATGGTTGGATCAGTTCACAGCTCCACTAACAATGCATTAGTGTTCCGATTTTCCCACATCTCCAACATTTATCATTTACTTGTTTTGCCATGTTGGCCCATCTGATAGGCGTGATGTGGTACCTCAGACTCATTTTGATTTGCATTTCTCTAATCAGTAGTGATTTAGAGCATTTTGTCATATGACTATAGATAGCTTTAATTTCTTCCTCTGAAAACCAAAGTATGTTTTTTGAGAAGAAAAATTACCTGTTAATAGAAATAGTGCTCTTTTGACCCTTATCACCTTGAATTTCATATTTTTATTGTCATGGAAAATTATTGAGGTTTATGTAGAACTTTCTAAACATTTTTGTGGGGTGAGTTGTTTCAATTTTTCTTCCATAGGACAAGTTTTTCAACCCAAGTATCCCTTCCTTAGGACTGAGGAATGTTATCTATATCAATGAAACTCATACAAGGTAAGGTGTCACTTTAAGAAAATACATAAATTGTATTTGTTTCAGACTTAATCCAGCTATCAAAATAATCAGTTACCAAACCTTAGTTAATTGTTACTTCCTGGAGGCTTTTGGTAGGACAGACTTTTTGTGGGAAAAAAACTAGTCATCTAAGGGACCAATTGTTATCGCTGCTGTAATTATTAAGTGTACCATGATATTACTTAATTTACCAGATATTAATGTACCAGATATTACTTAAAGTATTATGCTTAATTTGCTCATATATTAGTTTTCTATCGAAAATGTGTTAGTTTTTTTTTTCTTCAGGGAAGCTTGTTAGGTTGTTTAGGTGTTCTAGGATGAATATTTTTACTCAAAGATATACGTTATTTACATTTGTTTAATTTTTAGTGGAATACAAAGTGATAATCTATCATTTGAGTAAGGTGGCTCTTGGAATAATTGCTTTCAAATTCAAGTCAAATGGGAGAAAGCTTGTGTACTTAAGGAAATGATTCAAAATGTTGGAGTGAGAAGAAAGGAGCTTTATGTGAAAATTTAGTGACAGTGGAAGAGTAAGAAAACAGGGCTTGGGGAAAAGATAGCAGATAAAATAGACCTACTCAGCTACTGTTACTTTTTTATTAACTAAAACTTGGGATGAGAGTAAACAGTTGGTGAAACATACTGAAAAGTAGTTGAAATTCTTTGAAAGCAAGGGAAGAAATAAGCGTTTTTTAAGTGTCTCCTGTGTGCTAGGCACTTTACCTCATTTAATCCTTAAACTTATGAGGTAGGTGCTATTATTATCATTCCCATGTTACAATTGAGGAAACTGAGTCAAGCGGATGTTAAGTGACTTGCTAGGGTCACACAGCTAGTGTTTGGGGTTGAATCTGAACTCAGGTCTTCCTGACTCCAGGCCTGGAACTCTTTTTACTGCACTATTTCGCTGCCTCTGAAAAGACGATATGAGGTCATATTGTCGAGTCGCTTTCTATAGTAGCTCTTCATATTAAGAAAAAATGGATGCTTGCTTAGCTCTCTTATGAAAATTTAATTCTCACCTTAAAAGTATAAAGTTAAATCAGTATTTTGTTGGGAAATTTTGTTTTGCCTCTCAGGCCTCTCCCTTTTCCTTAAGAAATATGTATGTATGTATGTATATGCACAAAATCATCTGATTTTTAATAGAAGTAATTAAGATTGAGTTCCCAAGAAAAGGAATCTCATTTATATAAGTGTTGCAAGCATATACTGATATTTGGGAATTCTATTTATAATACTGTGCAAATTGTGCAATTATATCCAGATGGAGTCGCTCTAAGAAATAGAATCATTAAACCATTGTCCAAGAAATATCAGGGTATTTAGCTGCTAGTGGGCATCAGCTGCCTAAGTACATTGCTTAACACTTGGCTAGATAACAAATTCTTCTATGTAATGTCTAGACAAAGCCTAAAATAAACCGTAACAACTTTATTTTTCCATCAGGTGCACATAATAAGCTGGCAGATTGTATTTTCCTCCCTTTGGAATTTAATTGCCTAGGAATTTCGTAGCATGACGACTTTGTACCTTGTAATGATATTCCACTAATAATAGAGAAATGTACTCTGAAAGAAGAATATTTTGTATTTTTGTAATGCTTACTTTTCAGAGGCCTGGGATGGTGTCAAAAGACTTTTGAAAGGAAGAGAAGGAAGTGAAAAAGTTTTAGGACGGAGTGATGAGGAAAGTGGGTTTTATTTTCATAGAATTGAGTTTTTTTGTGTTCTACCACATATTTCAGTATAAATTTATAAATAGTGAGAAAAGTAGTAACTGTTTTCAATGTTAATTGTTATGAAGATTAACAGAATGTGTTATTGACAATTCGGAAACATAGAGACGAGATTCTAGACCATGCTGCTTGTAATATATCTTTGAATGATCGTGTGCTCAGCCAGACTCATTGAAAAGCAGATGCCTGGAAATAATAAAGATAATTTCTTTTTTTTTTTCTAATGAATTGTATTGCATATTATGGGCTTAGTAAGTTCCTTGAAAGTGAAAACTTTTAAATTTTGTGGCATTTTGGTGGTTGTTATTTGGTAGAGGAAAAGGGAAAAATACATAAATCAGTTTTTTTAACCTGGGGTCCATAAGCTTTAAAAGAAATATGCATAGCTGTTTTTCAGTATAATTGGTTTCCTTTGAAATTCTATGTATTTTATTTTATGTGTTTAAAAACATGAATCTGTGAAGGTGTCTGTGGGCTATACCAGATTGCCAAAGGGGCCCATGATGAAAAAAAGTTAAGAATCCCTGGTATAAATGAATACTCATTTTAAATTTTAGTTGTGAGCCCTTGAGAAAATTTGCATAACTATTGATAGCATAATTTCTTGCCCTTGGGTAACTATAATAGATATTAGATTGCTGTTATAACTATTACAGATCTAGGTGGAAAATTTAAATGAATATTAGAATAAAGGTTACTTTTACAGAAAGGACTTGGGGGGAAGATGAAAAACCAAAATGATTAAAATAATTTGTTTTAGGTGTTAACAGAATACTTGACTATTTTCATATCACAGACATAGAGGATGGCTTGCAAGACGCCTTTCATATGTACTTTTTGTTCAAGAGCGAGATGTTCATAAAGGCATGTTTGCCACCAATGTGACTGAAAATGTATTGAACAGTAAGAGGTAAGAGGAGAAAAAATTTCTATACTATTCCAAATTCTATAGAGCAGCATTTCCCAAGTCTTTTTTTTAACTTTATTAAAGTTTTGTAAAACATCCTTAGAAAATACAAATGGAGGGTAAAGTAGGTTCTTTGAGGAACAGTAAGCATGTAGAACAGAATGCTAGGATTGTGGATTATTAATTATATGTTTCATAAATACCACAGAAACAAATTGGTTTAGGAGATGTGTATTTTCAGAGATCCTGGAAAGTGTTGTCATAACAGTAATGTGAGATAATGCATTTTTCAGTTCGTAATTCATTCTTCAAGATCTGGAGGATAGGAGTTGAATTATCAGAGTTAGCAAATGTTATATGCTTTTTGTACTGAAATATAGAGTAATAGACTTTTTTTTCTAGTATAGTTAGTTCCTTTTGGATTTTGTCATTTTGTAGTCACTAACCAGCCAGGCCTAGTAAGTCTGGCTGTCCCACTAAAATCACTATGAAGATTTAAAACTACTGACTTAGCAGAGTTCTCATAGGATTGTTAATGGTGCCATTTGTTTTAAAAAAAATTAAACCATTTTCTGTTGTTTCCTACATTAAATGTAACAGTAATCCAAATAAGAATTTAGAAGCAATTTAAGGGGCTTGCTCCTTGGGTCATTGGACTTTCCCTTTGAGTAAAATAGAATGGACTTATAAATCTGTGGACTATATACTTCCATTGCTACTCTCCTTTTTTAGAAGGTAGAGCCAGCTACATCTTTTGGTGTAGGGATCTCTAAGGAAGCTCTCTCTACAAATGCTGATCATTGTCTATCCTGTAATTGATGATGCTAGAAGGTTGCCTTGGGTGCTGAGAGCTTAAGTGATTTGGCCAGGGTCACACAACAATATCTGTCAGGCGTGAGGCATGACTTTGGTCTTTTTGCTCTCTATACACTTTACCATGCTGCCCCTTCCCTCTGCTTTGTAATTTAAAAACAATTTGGATTTCATTTTATGGTAATTTAAAAAATACTTTAGTACTCAAAAAAGATCCCCTCTAATAAGTGCAGAATGCAGTCATTCCCATCCTGTGAAACTCCTGTCTATTTTTCCCTAAGTTCATTACAGAAGGTCCATTCAACAGGCTGGGGATCTTCCTTGCTGTTAACATTGCAAAGATATCTGACTGACATGGGCCTATAATTGATTATTCCTGCTCTTGCCATATAATCAGTGTGTCTTTTTTGCTGAATACATTTCTTTGATGTCATCTTTCACTTCTCCTTTGTAATCCCATCTCTAATGTTTTGTAACCTGTTTAACACACCAAATACCTTTCTGTTGCCCTCTGGATGCTTGTTTTTGGATTTTTGGAGATGAATCTTCCATATGCCTCAGGCGTACAGCACCGGAAACAATATTTATATTAAAAATATGGGCCTTGGTCTCAGGGCCATTGAAACAATTTTGCGGTTTCCAAAAGGCAGTCCAGCCCGCTCACTTCCTTTTTGGTTTTTGGGTCTAAATCATTGTTTATTTGCAGTGCTTGTCCAAGAAATGCATATGCACACACAGCCATTGGAAAATTCTATAGCTTGTTTATTGAAATGCATATTATAGTTTAGAAAATACACGTTCTTCATCTCTTGGCTTTTCCTGGGTAGATTGTTAGGCTAGACTCATGTGAGTGGTCATGGTTCTCATGCAGGAGGCTCTGCGGTGTTCTTAGTCCTGATGCAATCTGCATAATGTCATCCACAAACAGGAGCATCTGGAGTACTGAAGGACTTCACCATTTATAGGGAATCCTTCCACAATTTTGACTGTGCTTTTTCCTCCATGATTGTGGTAAAGATCTTTGGCAAATTTATCTCTGTTTTGTGTTTTGCCTGATAATAGTAATCAGAGGCTTGTCAGTCAAGGTATTTCTCTTATATTTTTCAAGGAATCGTATATAATTTTGAGGTATGCATTGGAGATACCTTACTGGAGGAGAACCTCTAAGTCAGGCTTTTGCTTAACTTATACTTTTTTATAGTTCACAAGACTATATGTATAATGGGCTCTTGCTTCTCTATATCTTTTAGTCAATTTGATGACTATAGATATTGGGTTTGTGGTGGAATACTGCTTGTGAAAGCCTGCTAGCTCTCTTTTAATAGCCTTAGTAAGAATTTCCTTAATGCTGTGTAAATTATTCTCATAAAAATATTTTATATGGGAAAGTAGGCATATTGGCTAGTTATTGGTGTTCCTTCCAATTGCATTTTATCTATCCAAATAAAAAGATCCTAGATTTTTGGTTGTCTCCCCCTTCTTCATTTATCTTGAAAAATTGACATATCAATGCCCTTCCAGTTGCATTGCTTCCTCCATGCACGTGTAGTTTGGTCCTGTTTCTTTTCTCATCTTTCTCTTCAGTGCCATTTTTGCTACTTTTGTAAGTACATTCCAGGACTATGATGTTAGAGTCTAAATGCGGTGACTTCACTATGCTTGATGATGACAAGTGTGTGGTATAAACATTTTTGTAGATCTTTTCCATCTTATGTCACCATCCAGCTTCATCTTTAAGTGTCTTTAGCATTTTAAAGGTAGCTAGTTGTCACAGTGGCTTTGGGCCTAGAATCAGGAAGACCTGAGTTCAAATTTTGCCTCAGACACTTATTAGCTGTTGGACTCTTGGCAAGTTAACTTCACCTCTGGCTACTTTAGTATACTTAATTGTAAAATGGGGGAAATAATAGCATTTACCTCCCAGGATTGTTGTGAGGATCAAATGTGATCATATTTGTAAAGCCCTTAGCACAGTGCCTGGCACATAGCAGGAACTTAATAAATGCTTGTTCCCTTTCCTTTCTTCCCCTTTGTCCTTGTAATGAGTTTGGTTAGGGTGTCTCTTCAAGCTTGCTTTAAACTGTTTTAATTCACAACTGCCTTTCTTTGTTCTATTTGGCAAGGCTATATTCTAAACAAGTGTTTTCCTTGATTGCCATTATCTCTTCACTTTGCAACGAAGTCACTTGTTAGTTGACTAATGTAGTTTTTTGACCATTTTGACCATTTGACCAATGTCTTCATTATAGCAATTGATTTATATCTGCTGAGTTTCTGCATAAAATAATTATAGCAAGTGTTGATGTCTTTTGTTCATATGCCTTTTTTTTGTCATAAGTAATTTGTTTAAATGGTAGGATATTACTTTTCTTTTTTTTAAGATATCTTTTTTTATTAATTTATTTTGAGCAATTACTTCCATATGCTTTTGAGTTTAAAATTTTTCTCTCCGTCTGCACCACCCTCCCCAAGACGGCACACAATCTGATATAGGCTATACGTATACATTCCTATTAAACATATTTTCACATTAGTGATGTTGTAAGAATTAGAACCAATAGGAGGAACTACCAGAAAGAGGGAACAAAACCCAGCAGAAAAAAAATAACAAATTGTATGCCTTGATCTGCATTCAAACTCTGTAGTTCTTTCTTTGGATGTGGATAGCATTTTCCATCACGAGGCCTTTGGACATGTCTTAGATCCTTGTATTGCTGGGAAGGGTTAAGTTTATCGGTATTAGTCATCGCACAGTGTGGCTGTTACTGTGTACAACGTTCTCCTAGTTCTGCTCACTTCACTTAGCATCAGACCATACAAGTCTTTCCAGGTTTTTCTGAAGTCAGGCTGTTCATCATTTCTTATAGTACAATAGTATTCCATTACATTCATATGCCGCAACTTGTTCAGCCATTCCCCAATTGATGGGCATCCTCTCAATTTCCAATTCTTTGCCACCACAAAAAGAGCTGCTATAAATATTTTTGTACGTGTGGATCCTTTTCCCATTTGTGTGATCCCTTTGGGATAAAGCCCTAGAAGTGCTATTGCTGGTTCAAAGGGTATGCACATTTTTATGGGATGTTAATTTTCAAATTGTACACCATATTTATATCTCAGTTTTATTCTAGTTTTTTATTTTGAACTTGACTCTGACAAGTTGTTGGATTGACTACATCAAACAGCTGAGGCAAGAGTGACTTTTTTATATTATTAGTGAGTCATTGTTTGTCTTAGATATAACTGATTCAATTTTTTGTGATACTGTATAACACTTGCTGTGCCTAGTGCCTTTCAGTTTACTTTTTTGAAGAAGGTGTTTGTGTTTGTAATTTGCATGTCTTTGGCTTCTCATTCCTTACACCTGATCCATAACTTCCAACATTTTCCATTTTCCTTGCCTATTTCCACTTTCATGTCAAAGTCATGGAGTTACTCAGAATCAATGTATATGTTAATTTAATTGACAGGTCTTGTTGAGTTTTTCCACAGAATTTCTCTACCTTTTTATCCTTTGTAGCAGACAAGCTGCAGTTATTTTCATTGTCTTTTTGAAAATGTTTATCATAAACACTGCAATACCAGATTAACCCGGTGTCTCGGGTTATGATGTTTCTTGTTGCTTTTGGGAACATGATAAAACCAACTCTACTAACCTCCTTTATTTATCTTTTCTCTCTAATTTCTCTCAGTGAACTCATCAGCTTATATGAGTTTAAATATCATCTCTATGGTGATGATTCCTGAATTTCTGTATCTAGCCCTAAATCATTTCCTGTTTTCCAGTCTCACATCACTTGTTAGATTTCCACCTGGATGTCCTGTTTAGAGCTTAGAGTCAACATTTCCTAAAAGAATTAATTTTCTTTTTTTTCAAGCTCACACCTTTTCTGAATCTTTCTATTCCTGTTAGGGGTACCACCATCCTTGTAGTCATCCAGGTTTGCAACTCAGTGTTATCCTTGATGCCTCACTTTTTACCTCCATTACATCTCCTGTATCTATCTTATTCTCTCCCCTGTATAACTACCACCTTAATTCAGGCCCCTGTCAACTCTACTTATAGGATGCAGATGGTTGATGTAGGTGGAAGGTCTAATTAGTCTTCCTGCCCATCCTCCACAAAGGCTGTGTTTTCTTTAAACATAGCTCTTATTATATCACTTCCTTACTTGGTACCCTGGGGGGTGAGGGAGTGGAGGGGGGATCCTTTAAGGATCAAATATAAACTCTTTAGCATTTAAAGCTTTTTACAACCTGACCCTAACTCTGCTTCTAGCCTTACTACATATCAGTCTTGTTTTTGTACACAATGACTCCTTATACGTGACATTCTATCACTTTCAAAAGTCTTGAAATTGTCCATTCCCTGTGCCTGGAAGCTTCTCCTCTTAAAATCCCTTACTCCCTTTCAAAGCTCAACTTTCATGCCATCTTTTACATAAAGCCTCTAATGATTCTCCTCTCTGCCCCACTCCGTACTAGTACCTTTTCTCCAAATTATCTTTTGTTTAATTTGCGTAGATCCATTTGTGTACATGGTGTTTCTCCTGGCTATATCGTAAGTTCCTCAAAGGCAGAAATTTTTGTTTGTGTTTCCCCATTGCCTGGCAGATAGCAGGTGCCTAATAAATGTTTGTTAGTTGAACACAGGGGAAATCTCTGAGCCATCCTTCCATTTAGCTGCAGCTTTGAGTTTCATTTAAAGTGAGAATGTCAGATTGATACAATTTAGTTCTTTTAGTAGGATATCTACTTAGTTATTGAACAATATTGTGGACAATCTCACATTTAGATTAACAATGATAAAATGTTTATAACAAAAAAAACTTACATTAATTTTAACAATGGATACTGTCGGTGTGGTAAGGATAATAGCATTTATATTGATCAATAAGGTTTGCTAAACATTAGCATTTATATTGCTCAGTAAGGTTTGCTAAGCACTTTGACATGTTATTTCACCTGATTGTCACAAAATTTCTGGGAGGTAGATGCTATTATTATTTCTGTTTTGCAGAAGAGGAAACTGAGGCCAAGGGAAATTATGTGACTTGCTCAAGGTCCTATAGCTAGAAGTTTCTGAGACAGGATTTGATCTCTGGTCTTGCTGACTCTAAATCCAGCATCTTATCTGCATGCCACCTAAAGGAGTTATAAATTAGAGGCAAAGTAACCTTTCAGAAAGAGAAATCATACATTTTCTCATAGCTGCCCTTAGACATAAGGGCATATGGTACATATTCTTGCAGATAGTCATTTCTTTTCTTTGTTCCTTCAGTCTTTTTTCCTAGATTGTTTAACAATTCTGCTTGTTGCTTTGACCTAAATTAGAGCTTTAAGAATCTTTAGTTGTTACTTGACAACTTTAGAAGTTTTACTTGGAATGCCATGCTTTCTGTTGCTCTAGAAGTGGTGTTACTCCCTTTGAAAACATTCTGAATATTGTTTCATCTCTATGAATTGAATGAATACTTTAGGAAATTTGGATATAGAAAGCAGCACAGAAGTAGTTACATTGTCTTTAATTTTTGAAATCAGAGTCCAGGAGGCGATTGAAGAAGTGGCTTCTGAATTGAATTCTGGAGATGGTTCTGCTCAGCAGCAATCAAAATCTATCAGCAAAGTGAAAAAGAGAGCTAAGCGGATCCTTCAAGAGATGGTTGCTAGTGTCTCACCAGCAATGATCAGGTAATGAAAATCAGGAAAACAGGTTGTCAGTAGAGTTGACTCCTTCAGGTAATTGCATTAGTAAAAACAGAATCAATAAATATGTTTGAAGTTCCTATAATGTGTAGAACATATGCTAGTTGTCAAGGATGAGATGAAGATGTAGTTCCTGTCCTAAAGAAATTTGCAGTCTTGAAGTGGGATGCCACACTTAGAGAAACATCTGTAATGTTAGATGGAACGTTAGGTCATTACAGACATAGATGGTATTTTGGGAGGCAGGGTGAAAGAAGAGAGCATTTCAGGGATAGGGAACAAGGTGAGCAGAAGCATAGTGATGGGGGGAGATTGTGGACAGGGACAAAGGTCAGGGACAAAGCCTGTAGTCCAGTTTGGCTAGAAGTAAAGGGAGTAGTATTGACAAATAAGGTTGTAAAAGAAGGAGATAAACTATGACATGAAAATACATTGCATCCTTGTAATCTCTTTTGCATCCATCTACATTTTACATCCTCCTTTCTATTTTCAGTACCATCACCTTAATATGGGCCTTCACAGTGTTCCCTACCCCTGCAATGCCCTCCTTTCCATCTTTGCCTCCTGAAATCTCACCTATGTCTGTAATGATCTAATGTTCCATTTAACATTATAGATGTTTCTATATGTGTTGCATTCCTCTACGTTTTGCTAGCTGTAAGTTTGAAGCTTGAACCAGATTGAAATGTAATTGGGAAATGCTTAATAAAATAAATATACAATACAACATAGATAATATTAATTTGTGGTTTTAGAAAATCATGTCAATACATGGCCCATAGATCCATTTCTATTTCAGTTTGGTACCACTGGGTTATAGGATCATTTAGAGTTGGAAGGGATTTTACAGATATTTTTGGTCCATTTGGTCCCTGATTTAAAGATGATGAAATAGGCCATATAGATTAAATGACTTACCCAAGGTTATATAGATTGATTTAGTAGCATAGAATGAATTGATAAGGGGAAAGCCTAAATGCAGACAACTCAGAGAAGGCTACCATGGTAATGCAGGTGAATGATATTAAGGGCCTGTATGACAGGATGGTGTCATACAGATAATGGCAGTGAGAATAGAAAGGAGGGAGGATGGATGTCTAAGAGATTATAAGGTTACAATGTATTTCCAAGCAATAGCTTACCCTATCCCCCTTTCCTACAGGACTTAATAAGTATATTTTGACATACCCTGAAACATTATAAAAACCATAGTTGAATGACTACTACTTGTGTTCTTACCTCAGCTAGCTTGCTAACCTCTTTTCTATTTCTCTAAGCAAACTGTTTTGCCTGGTGTATATTAACAAAGAACACTCTAGATTCCTCATTTTGTTTCCTTCAAATTTCAGTTGACTGTGGTGGTATTTGCTTCTGAGATCTAAGTTATATAGAAATCTAATCACATATGACTTAAGTTGATTCTTTTTTACCTGATAAACTATACTACATAAATGAGTTCTGCAGGAACAGTAAAAGGCCAGTCAGGAGGCCAGTAATTTGGAATGAGCTAGTGGTCTGGTTTTTGGGGTAAAAATGAGGGTAATGTGATGCCCATTATGATTAATGAATCTATAAATGAACACATACTGGTTTCATTGACCATTATGTCAATCCAGTAGGCCAGTTGTTTATAGATAGTTTTAATTACAAGTAGCTGCTAAGCTGGTGGTGAGTGACGTTTGAGCAGAGGCTCATCTTAGCATTTTGTTTTCTCCTAGGCTGACTGGATGGGTGCTACTAAAACTTTTCAACAGCTTCTTTTGGAGTGTTCAAATTCACAAAGGTCAACTTGAGATGGTCAAAGCAGCCACTGAAGTAAGATTAGTCTTTTTGTTGACTTTTAGTAAGCCTTTTACCCTTAGCCCCCCCATGTTTACTAAAACTTTTTTTTTTTGTTTCAAATATTTTGCAAGGTTCTTTTTTTTTTTCCTTTCTTCGGGACATGCCCCTTTTTGTGAGATCTCTCATTATTAGAAGTCTCTGTGGTAGCTGCATGCAGCCTAGATTAGATGGGATGTTAGTTTCACCTCTTAGTTATTGTTAGCAGTTTGCATTGTTTAAAGCATTTTGCTGGTAGCGTGGTAGCCTAGGTTGATTGATTTGCTAAATGTTATGCTATAATTTACCATTTGTATTTACCTTTTAATTTAAAATTGCACATCTTTTTTCTTCCCTCCAATCAGATGAATTTGCCTCTTATATTCCTACCAGTTCATAAATCCCATATTGATTATCTACTGCTCACATTCATTCTTTTCTGTCATAACATCAAAGCACCATACATTGCTGCTGGCAATAACCTGAACATACCTATCTTCAGGTAAGAATCAATCAGCTTAATTTGAAATTCAAAGTAAAACTGATACAGGTTTAATTTGAGGTTTTATTTTGTTCCCTTTATTCTGTAGCACAATTTTTATATAGCATATTTGGCAAGTAGAAACTTGAAACTTGTTAGGGAATATATCAGTGGAGAAAAAACAAGTAGGAAAGAGAATGACTTTGAATCATCAAATCTCAACTTTAGCTCTTCAAAGTGAAAAGTGCAACATCTGTGTACTTTGAGTTTTCCTTTATCATTTGCAAAGAACACAAATCCAAATTGTAGGAGCTCTGTGAGTGAAAAGGATGACAAGGAATTAATAATGATAGCTAATATTTATATAGCACTTACTTTGTACTAGGCGCTGCTGTGCTAAGTGCTTTACAGTGTTATCTCATTGGATCCTCACAATAATCTGTGCTATTATTATCCTTATTTTACATATAAGGAAATTGAGGCAAATGGGTTAAGTGACTTGCCCTCGGGGTGTTCTCCCTGACTCCAGGCCTGGTGCTCTATCCATCTAGCTGCCTGATTAGCATGAGGTGTAATAACTTGATATTGTAATTGAACAATACTGTTAAAATAAATAGCAGATTATTAACTTTTGATTGTTAGACATGTCATGAAAACTTTTTCCAAATCAGTTGTTATTAGTGATGATTTCATCTGGACAGAGATCTTCTATAAAAACATTTGTTTTGTAGCAAAATATGCCATAAGCAGGCATTCTAGCACTTGGATATTTTATAGAAACTTGCATAAGGATTTGATATTCAAGTGTAGCATAAAGTGCCTAAGCATAAATCACATTGTCAGTTTTGAGAAGGTAAAGATCACAGATAGGTCTCTTTGATTTGGAACCCATTATAATAGAGCCTCTGACATAAACAGTGATAATCTAAGGACTGATGAAGAGTAATGTCAGTTACCAAAATGAGATATTAATTTAGAAACTGGAACTCTTGAACATTTTTTATATAGGCAGAATAGCTCAAAAGATATGGCTGAAATAGCCAAATGCTGAGTATTTGAAAGATTTGAGTTTTGAAACATGAAGTCATCTTTTCTGCATGTAAATTATACATTCTTTCATTTTTACAGTACGCTGATCCATAAACTTGGAGGCTTTTTCATACGACGAAGGCTAGATGAAACATCAGATGGACGAAAAGATACTCTCTACAGAGCTTTACTCCATGGAGTATGTGTTCTCTCTAAAGCTACTGTGTTGGTTACCTGAGAAGAAAGTTATAAATTGTCTTGATATTTTGATTTTTTACTAAAGTAAGGAAGAGACAGTATGGTAGAAGGAATAGAGAGTCTGCCTTGGAGCCAGGAAGACCTGGGTTCAAGTCTTGCCTTTGATGGGCCATAGTGATTCCAATGTTAGTATTGTGCAAGTCTTGCAATTTCTTTGTCCCATTTAGCTCTCTAAGACTGTAAGTTATAGATGAGTTGCCAGTCTGCATTGCTAAATGGAGTTTTCCACAATGGGAGATCCACACATTGATAATTATCAATCCAAACAAAATCCTCTTCTCTCCCCTCCCCCAGTTAAAGAAATGTGAAAGTTGAATGTAGGTTTTATTATTCTGTAGTGCCACCCCCTCATCCCAAGCTAGTTATAGGACAAGTTTTTCTGCCATTACCTTTAAAGATACTCTGCTAGTATATGAATATTTTCTTTTAATGTTTTAGTTTACATAAATTAATTGTGATTAGTATTATGAATAAAGAGTTGACTTGGCAGTCAGGAAGACTTGAGTTTAAATTCCAGTAGACACATCTGGCTATATGACCTGGGCAAACTACTTAATCTCTCACCATTCCAGGTGCGAAGGCTTTAGCTGCAGAGCAGGTGTCAGTCGTCATTGAGCGTGAGGAAATGAAACCAATGAAATTGTAGTTTGGGTTGGAGAAAAAAAAAAACATATGGTAAGTTTTATGATCTTGACTTACTGTTTTGTTTTGTCCTCCGCCCTTAGCACATAGTAGAACTGCTTCGACAGCAACAGTTTTTGGAGATCTTTTTGGAAGGAACACGTTCTCGGAGTGGAAGAACCTCCCATGCTAGGGCAGGCCTCTTGTCTGTGGTAGTGGATACTCTTTCTACCAATACCATTCCTGACATTTTGATAATCCCTGTTGGAATCTCCTATGAGCGGATTATTGAAGGTCACTACAATGGTGAACAACTGGTAAGAATGTCTTTTAAATGTTGAGTAAAAAAATAGTTTTTTGGGGGGAGGGGTGGGTTGCAGTCAGAAGGGCTTTGCCATCTGTACCACTTTCTTGCTTTAATATAGTTAATGTTTTTGGTGTTAATCAGTAACAAGTATTGAGCACACCCTCTTTGCAAGTCAGATATTTATTGAGCTTGTATGGGGTGTGAGGCACTGTGGAAATAAAGACTTGAGGTAGGATCACAACATAAATAAAGATAGTAAACATGTGATAATTTGAGGAGGGCAAGATTACTAACAATTGAAAGCATGAAGGAAAGCTTCATGGAGGAGATAGCAACCTTGAAGGAAGAGAACAGTTCTGAAACTGGGAATCCGAGAGAATACATTTCAGGCATGGGTAGCAGCTTTGTGACTGAAAGGAGTTGGGAGATAGAATACCTGGTTTGGGTAGTTATCTAGTGTGGCTCTAGAATTAATGATAATGATAGTTGAAATTTATATAGTACTTTGGGATTTGCAAAGTGCTTTGTATAATTGTCTCATTTGAAGTGACAAATAAGAAATAAGAATGAAAAGGTAGGTTGGAACCTAATTGTCAAGGGCCTTGGAACACTGGATTGAGGAGTTTGTATTTTATCCTGCTGACGATGATGAACTGCTGACAGTTTGAAAACAAGGAATTGGTTGTTTAGGTGTGGATTCTGTTAACAGTGTCAAGCTGAGAGGGCCAGGAGGATGGTGACAGAAATAGTTTGTAGACTTATATGATATCATGAGCAGCTTTGAGAGAGGAGTTTCTTTATAGTATTGTAGTTAAAAGTCAGATTACAAGGAGTTGAGATGAGTGCAAAGAACTCATGGATTTTTTATTTTAGAAAACATAGTTTATTTCTTTCCAAGCTGGTTGTGGATGTAGTATTAATTCTTTGAGGAAATGTTCTGAGTCAGAAGTACTTCTAAGAAAACTTGGTGTCCTTCTTGTATTGGCTTTTCATTCCTGGGTCTGTACTCCACAGCTACTGGAGTGGCAGCCCTGTAGGGACTGAGTATAGAATTATCTCAAGTGGGAGTGGGTCTCAGTTATGATTGCAAGAAATTTCTCTTTGGAGTTGTTTCTGTACAAGCTCTGAATGCATAAGGACAAAATGAAGACTAAACCACCACTAAAGGAATTTGATATCAGTTTTAGGGATTCACTTTGGGCCTAATTTAGTTTTAAGGCTTTTAAATATTGTTTATCTTCAGTTAGGTGCCAGTTTTGTGATGTCAATGAAGGACATCAGATCACACATTTGATGACTTAGAAACTTTAGAAATTTAATGTTTAAACCCCATTCAGAGGTCAGGATAGGAATCACAGATCCAGACTCTTACACTCACCAGAAGAGTTTAATGTTAAAAATATCCTGCCAACTTCTAGTTACTGTTTATTTTGTAAGTTCTTCTTCACCTGGTCATATTTTTCAAGTTATACCTTTAGCTTTTTGAAATTAAATTTTTTCAATTATCAAATTCTTTTTTTCTCTGCCACCTCCAGGGGGCAGGGGAGGGGAGAAAAACAAGACTTCTAACAAATATGCATAGGAAAGCCAAACAAATTCCCATGTTGGCCATGTCCAAAAATATATCTCAATCTGTATCTTTAGTCCATCACCTCCCATGAGAAGGTGGGCAGCATTCTTCATTTGTCTTCTGGAATTATGATTGATCATTTTGTTTTAAGAGTTTAAGTCTTTCAAAATTGGTTGTTTTTATAATGTTACTATTATTGTATAATAGTGTCCTACTCATTTAACCTTACATCAGTTCATGCAAGTCTTCCTTCCCAGGTTTCTGAAATCATCTATTTCATATACAGCAAATAATACAACAGATTTCCATTACATTCATGTACTGTAATTTATTAAGCCATGCCCCAATTGATGGGCACCCTCTTGGTTTTCCACTATGAAAAGCTGCTATAAATATATTTATATGGATAGAACCTGAATCAAAAGGTATGCACAGTTTAGTAACTTTTGGGGGTGTAGTTCCAAATTGCTTTCCAGAATGACTGGACTAATTTACTGCTTATCGACTGTGCCTGTTTTCCTGCAGCCTCTCCAACACTTGTCACTTAACTTTTTTGTCCATTCTGCTACTCTGATAGGTGTGAGGTAGAACTCTCAGAGTTGCTTTAAATTTGAGTTTATCTAATCATTAATTGGTTGGAACATTTTTTTCTTATGGCTACCAGTGGCTTGGATTTCTTCCTCTAAAAAATGCCTGTTTATAGTAACTTTGACCATTTATGAATTGGAGAATGGCTCTTAGTCTTATAAATTTGAATCTCTTTCCTGTATGTCTTTCTTGAAACTGAGACCTTTATCAGAATTACTTGCTGCAAAGATTTTTCTCCCAGTTCACTGTTTTCCTTCTCATCTTTGTTGCATTGGATTTGTTTGTGCAAATTCTTAATTTTATATGATTTAACTTAGACATTTTATCTTCTGCCCTTTTAGCTTTCATAAACAAAACTGCTACTTTGGCCAGACAAAGAATTTGTTTTAAGAGTTGTTTTGCCCAATTTTATTTTTTTCTTGATTACTTGTCAGGGTAAACCCAAGAAGAATGAAAGTTTGTGGAGTGTGGCAAGGGGAGTCTGTCGTATGTTGCGTAAAAACTTTGGCTGTGTTAGAGTGGACTTTGCACAGCCATTCTCCTTAAAGGTGAGTGAGAAACATCAAGATACTGTGCAAGATGGAGTGGTGGGCTTTTTACAAGATAGTTTCTGCATTTGGTTACATGCTAATTCTCTATAATCTTGTATTATAGTATATGTGACTCATGTACTACAAAGTTGATTGGTGAAATTGTTACGCTGGCTATCACTGTTAATACTGTATGCCTTTTCTATATAATTAAAAAAAAATTTGGAATTTGAATTCCCTGTAGGTGATGATAATCAAGTGGGGGAAAATGAGTTAACTGATAAGTTCCAGTTTGATTTGGAGGCTGTCTTAGGTCAGTGGTTCCTAACCCATGGGCTGCAGATCATTGAGGGGGTGAGTTCATGAATCCAAATTTGCACCAGCCATTCTTATTTTATATTTTCTCAGTAAGTGGAAACCAATGCTACAGCTAATATCACTTGGGGTTACATGAAATTTTTAGACATTCAAAGGGGTTTTCATAGTCAAAAGGCTGGGAAACCACTGAGCTAATTTAGCATTGCAAAATGTTAATTTGCATTTGGTTTTATATTTAATTTAAATATGTTGTTTTATAGTTCTTTCAAAGACTAGATGGATATATTTCTCATTATGCTGAGTGTCGTGGTTCATTGGAAAACTGTCCTTTTCTTAACTTATAACTTGTTTTCTAAAAACAAAAATTAGATGCTGAAATGAGAGTAAAATATCATGGTGTAATTTTATAGGAATACTTAGAGAGTCAAAGTCAGAAACCTATGCCTGCCCCGCTTTCCTTGGAGCAAGCTTTGTTACCAGCTATACTTCCTTCAAGGTAAAGTTTTCAGAATATTTGGTTTATTATTAATTTAGAGAAATGAAAATAACTTAGAAAAAGTTTGCATTTTTTCATTGTCTTTTTCCTGTAATTTTTCTGATGGCCTCAGATAAGACTTTGAATCTCATTATTGTCTTGTTATGAATGTTTTATTATTTCTAGAATATGTTCTTGAACTAAGGGTTCAGTTAACATTTATGAATTATCTGTAGATGAGTATATAAGCTTTTTGTCTGTGGTTTAAATTAGTTCTAGTAATAGGTTTTGCATATTGCATGTTAATTCAATTTGTAAAATAACCTTGCTGTTTTAATTTCACAGAATTTTTCATCAGAACAATTGAATAAGGCCTTGCTTTAGGAGCAATTTCAAAGTTGTTGAACTCTGAAGTGTGTTTTACTGAGATTGTCACGGTGTGCTTCTTGTTGCAAGCATTCTTGGATGAAGTGTTACTGGGATGAGTGACACATAGTGATAGTTTAAATATATGTTACATTTCTTGGGTATAATATTTAAAGCTAGATTCATTAGTTTGTTAATGCAGAAAAGCATCTTGGTTTTAGGAACTGAGAAATTTTAAATCAGTTATCCATAGGGTTTGATGACTTAGCATGCCTTGTAACTTAAAGTGCATTTTATTTCTTGCTCTAACTGTGTGCAAGACAAAGGAACTCTTTTTAACTTGCTTGTAAGGAGATTGCATACACTGTCATACATGGTCACTTTATGAGCTGTTTTACCTAACTTTTAAGTAATAAGGGGTGGGTTAAATGCTAGGAGCAGATGGCGTATACAGTCATGACTGATATAAAAACAAAAACTTCAATAAAACTTTTTCTTAAAGTTGGGACTCATTAAATATTCATTTGAAAATGTAAATTGAAATTTTTTCTTCAGACCTAATGATGATGCTGCTGATGAAGGTAGAGAGGCTACAGTTAATGAATCCAGAAATGTAAATGATGAGCCATCCAGGAGGAAGTTAATAGCAAATCTTGCTGAGCACATCATGTTTAGTAAGTGAAATGTCAAAGCATTTGAAACTGAATTGTATTTTGTTTTATTTTAAAGCTTAATTGATTTTATTTGGCTTACTTGGAGTCATATGTTTCTGTATGTGTTTTTGGGACTTTTTTTTGATGAGTTAGTAATTGTTTTCATATTCTGCCTGTAAATTTGCATTATACATATAGATTGTCATATACATCTATTAAGGTAGATTTGCTTTAGATTTCCAACTAACTACATCATGAACTATTTCTGGTTTAGTAAATTCAGTGACTGAGTGTCTTATGTGAGTTATAATAAGTGTTAAAAATGTAATATTTTTCTTCTCATTCAGTTTTTCCTGAAAACATCCTACTTGGAGTAAAAGTTAAATGAAATGAACCGTGTGGGCTTAGTCCTACAGACAATTTCTCTTATCTGCAGACTTTGTTTGGGCCCTGGAGCTTTTAGGTCTAATTTGACATTAAAGATTTTGTTATAGGAAACATGCTTAAGATGATCACAGGGTCCTGTGTAAGTATTTTGTGCAAACAGGCTTCAGAAAATTATGAGACACATAAAAATATAGCCATAAGAAACTCCTCTTTCTCTCTTTCCACCAACATCACTAGCTGGTTGAATTGTCAGTCACCTACTGGCTAATCAATTATGGTTCTAATGGATTATTATACCTAGTTGAGTGGACTGATGTTGATTGATGCAGTACCCTTGAAGGATCTCCTATTTCCATTCCCTTCTGTTTATTTGACATCTCAAAGCAAATTCTTTGCTGAGGGCAAAATGGTACAAATTTGAGCTGTACTCTGAGCAGAGGAAGAACGGAGGACATTACTAATCCCTCATTTCAGGTTAAACATGTCATAAGTAATTGGAGTTGGGATGGTGTGAGGATAGCCTGCTGGGTCATGGACCTCCCCATATGGAGCAATGCCACCAAAATATCCAGTGTGATTGCAGCTTTGGCTATGCAATTACTATTCATACACAAAAAGACAATGATATATCTATGTGGGAAAGCTCTCCTCTTCCTTTAGTTGGATGAGCTGTGTGTTTTTAGTAACAGTCTTCCCTGGTTTGGGATGCAAAGTCTAATCTTTTTTCTAGTTTTCTCAACTATATTGTATTTTTTACTGCTTTTGATGGAGTCTTTAAATTAATATACATAAAGAAAATGAGGGTGAGTAGAAACTTGAGAATGTAAAAATGGACTTCTTGATGATGCCAGTAACATTGCTTCTGTGACTTTTATTATTAATATTACAGTATAACTATGGTCTGGGAAAGAATGAAAAGGACTTGGTGGTTTAAAAGAAATTTGCAAATAGATATGTTCAAGAAAACATTAAAAAAAATTGGTTACTGGATGTTATAAACTTCTGATCTACCATTGTTTAGTATAGGTGAAGACTGTTAATTTGATCCACTTAACATCTTAAACACCTTCTGATAATGTCCTTCTTCCCATTTTTTCATGTTCACTTATCTGTTTGATTTGTAATTTGTGTTTTTGCATATTACGCCAAATGTTCTTTTATGAATTACAATAATATGCTGAGAAAAATTTAAACAGCAGGCTATACCTGGAAGAATGGTGAAGTCATGGAGGTATAAATGAAGTAGATGAGAGTCTGGAGCAAGTAGCATTATATGAAGTATTATTCTCCAGTAAAGTTTCTTCCTGTATTGATAATTTTGGAGGGACAGTATGGTGAATTGGGATCAGAAGACCTAAATTGAAGTCTCAGCTCAGCTAATTTCTAGTGATGACAAAAGTACCTAACCAGTTCAAAGAATATTATCCCCATTTTCAGGTGAGGAAACTGAGGCCTAGAGGTTATCCCATAGGGCTATTAGGAAAATACTTTGTAAGCCACTGTGTACCTATGGATTGTTGTCATCCATTTAGTAAGTGCTTACTATGTACTTCACACTTCTTAAATGTATAGGAAATAAACAGAAACGTTGGATGGCATCAGAACTCAAGGAATTTATAATCTGAGTGAGGAAATACAAGGACGTAAATATGCTACAAATTAGCATGTAGGACTTACATGAGAGTAGTACAAAGTTCTGTGGGACTGTTTTCTTGGTGAAACTGTCCTTCATTTTAGGGGTATATCAGGAAACAAAGGAACCAAACCCTTTTGAAGAGAGTATGTACTGGATCCACCACATAACTGACTCTTCTTTATGTTGAAGAATATTTTATAGCTAGGCTTCAGTGTTCACACAGAACCTATCAGTGATAGACTTATAATAAATTTGCCAGTAGCTTGTTTATCATCCTTAAATATTTTTTATTTAAGGCACAGATGTTTTCTAAGTAAAGAGGTAGCTGGTGGCTCAGTGGGCAGAGCACTGGGCCTGGAGTTAGGAAGACCTGAGTTAAAATCCAGCTTGAGATACTTCCTAGCTATGTGACCCTGGGCAAGTCACTTTACCTCTAATTTCCTGACAGAAGGATCCACTGGAGAAGGAAATGGCAACCACTCCAGCATTTTTGCCAAGAAAACCCCATGAGCAGCTATGTGGTCATGAACAGTTGAACACCACTTAACAACATCAAATGTTTTCTAAGTTATGCTAGAAAGCTTTAGTCTTTTTTTTTTCTTTCTTCTAGCTGCTAACAAGTCATGTGCTGTTATGTCAACACACATAGTGGCCTGTTTACTACTCTATAGACACCGGCAGGTAAGTCTGTAATGTTTTATACGTTATAAAATATTTGTTAGAATTATGTCTAACATATTTAATTAACATTTAATTGAACATCTGCTGTGTATTCAGCCCCATGTTAGGGGCTGTGAAATACGAAAGATAAGAGTAGGACAAGTTCTGGGTCCCCAAGAAGTTCAGTCTTGTTGAAGAATTGCACAGTGTGCTTGTGGAACAGAATATAAAATCAGAAGCTTTTTGTGTATGATAAATGCTTAGTACTGAAGAAGCTATATAGAATTCATTGTTAATGTTCATAGTTGGGAAACTACTTGAATTTACATTTCTCTCTTCCCAAAGTGAGGAAAACACTGTCCAAATTGCAGATTGTTTTAAATAGTTTTTTCCCTTTTTTTAACCTGAATTCCGATGACATGTGAATAGCCATTGGTCTTTCCATCTATGGCCTTGTGGGTGACCTACACTTTTTATATTTTACCTGCTTTGTGACCTGGCTCTATGGAAATTTGTTGGACTTTTTTTTTTTATATGTCATCTGACCCTATTTCTATGTGTCCTAATGGTGAGGTTTGGTTGCTCTTTACCTAGGGATGACATCACAAAAAAAACAAAGCAAAAAAAACCCTTAAATATTTTTGATATCTTGGCTTTTCAAGACAGTTACCTTAATTGTGATTAGGCTTTTTTCTATTCCTACAGGGAATTGATCTTTCTACGTTGGTAGAAGACTTTTTCATTATGAAGGAGGAAGTGCTGGCTCGGGATTTTGACCTGGGATTCTCAGGAAATTCAGAAGATGTCGTCATGCATGCAATACAGCTTCTGGGAAACTGTGTAACCATCACCAAGACCAGCCGAAATGATGAATTCTTCATTACTCCAAGCACAACTATTCCTTCTGTTTTTGAACTTAATTTCTACAGCAATGGGGTGCTACACGTCTTCATCATGGAGGCCATTGTGGGTTGGTAGATCCATGGCACATATTAACTAAGACTAGAGAAGACTAAGTTTTAAATGCCAAAACAGAGCCTCATGGTTTAAAAAACCAAACAGCATAATTAGATGTTGTCTCACTGTGGTAGAACTGGGCTGAAAAAAAAATAAGAAAAGAAAAAACTCATATTATATTTAGTTTACTTAGCAAGTATTTATTTATCACCTACTGTATACATAGTACTATGATGTGCACTGATTGAAACAGAGAAGGAAACAAGAAACCAGCCCTCCAGGAGCTTTCATTTTTGTTGGAAGACAGAACGAGATGTACACATAGGAAATGTTTAAATAACAATGTAAGGCAGAATGTGATGAAATGCCTACATATGTAATACAGATAATATGCGTGACAAAAGTTCAGACAAGGGGAAGCTTATAGGATCAGAGTTGGAAGAGGCCCCTGAGGCCATCCTGCTTAGGTCAGTATAGGCTGAAGTGGTTGGGGAAGGAAAGTTTCATGGAAGAGAGTGGGAGCTGAACTGACAAAGCTGAGCTAGATGTGCCTGGGCATGCGGGTTGATTCACTTAAAATTCAATAAATATTTCTGTGGAGACCATTTTCTTAAGTAACATTGGTTTGCGGTTCCTGTCTTATTTTAGACACTTAAACAGTTGGCCAATTTAGTCATATTATTAAGCTGAAGGATTAATCTTGTATTGCTTTTCTAAGTTTCTTTTAGAAAGTTCAAGCTCCTGTTTCTCATTTTTGTTTTCGTTTGTTTAGCGTGCAGCCTTTATACCATCCTGAATAAAAGGTGCTCTGGGGGTACTGGAGGTGTATCACCCAGCATGATTAGCCAGGAACAGCTTGTCCGTAAGGCTGCTGGCTTATGTTATCTGCTTTCTAATGAAGGCACCATATCACTAGTAAGTAAACATTTAATCGTGGCATCTGTTCCTGTTTATTTCCTTTTCTTGAAAGTGTTCTTGAAAAGATTATTGCATTCTTTTTCTTATTTTTTTTTTCTCTTATGTTATAGCTTTTTATTTCCATCTTGACACCTGAACAAAATTCATTATATATGTTGGTTTACAATCATCATTGTACACAACTGTGGAAATAATAAATTTAATTGATAAGACTATCAGTAGAGGCTTTATTATGAATGCCTTTTTGTGACCTGGTGGTGACTGTAGCTTCTTGAAGGCTATGCCATCAGACCTCAAACTCTTTTTCCAGCAATCTGGAAAGGCTTTGAATATAACCTAATGATAGATCACTTTAGGATCAAATATAAAATCCTCTGTTAATGTGACCTGGCCCATTCATACTTTTCTAAACTTGTTGGACTTTATTCTCCTCCATGAACTCTTGTGATACAGCTAAACTAGCCTCCTTGTTGTTCCTTGCAATTGACATCCCATGTCTCATCACTGTACCTTTCCCTCAGCCATCACCCATGCCTGGAATGCTCTTTCTTCTCACATACCTCCTTTTTTTATGTTCAGCTCAGGTTCTTTTTGCAAGAAGCCTTTCCTAGCCCCCTTTGTTGCTTAGTGCCTGTTCCTTTTGAGATTTAACTTTGGTCTGCTCTTTATCTTGTATGTACCTGTTTACATGTCTTCTCCACTCAAACATAACTTCCTTGAGGACAGTGACTTTTTTTTTTTTTTACCATTTTTTCTGTTTTTCATGCTTAGCACAGTGCGTTGCACATAGTAAGTGCTTAATAAATGCTTGTCGATTGATTGTTTGAACAGTATTTTGTAGAAGAACCATTACAGTTAAGTTCAGAGAAGTTCATCACCAGATTGGCTGACAAGGTGATAAATTTTTTGGCCATAACAACTCTCAAATACTGCTAAATTAGACAGGTGTTTCGGTTTGTGCCAATGGAAGGAGTACTATGTGTTCCAAGTTACAGAACCTTGAAGCAGGGCACTGTGTATGAATATGCTTACATATGTTCTCTTGTTCTTGGTAGACTTGAAATGAATGTTTTACATTCCCTAAACACTGATGCTAATACCATAAATTAGAGCTGGAATTAACCATAGAGATGGTCTAGTTCCGTTCTAGCATTTTACAAATAAGGAAACTGAAGACCAGAATAATAAAGTTAAACTTTTACCTTCTAATAGAATGTAAGTTGTTTCAAATTGTAGTAATTGCCTAATTTTGTCAGTGTGGTACCAGGTTCTTAGAATGAACATAATTAAATAAATATCTGTTGAATTATTTTATTTTGGTGGTTTGTAATCAATAAATATGTGTACTCAAGAGTGATAACTATGCCACAGTGATCCATTGATGACCACGGAACATTCTAGACTATATTTTATCCTCTTGTCCTTCATCTTATATGAAATATAATGAGGATCTCATTGGAGAATTCTTTGGGTACTGGTACGTGATTTTCTGTGTGTAAATTGAGGTATATCAGCAACGGAAGGGAGGTGGAAGGTTATACTCTTTAGGCTGGAGATGGTTGTCTTCTTTTCCCTTATAGAAGTTTCTGCATGTTTCACTTCCCCATCCATAAGTGGTATATAGTCACCTGATGTTTAAGGTAATATTTTCTAAGGGAAGGTCTTTCTTAAACAGAAGAAAATGTTGTATATGTTCATTCTAAGCAGCTTCTTAGCCTGATCCATTTGTTTGGGAGAAAATCAATTTAGTAAGGACCCAAGTACACTTGGTGCTGTGGAAGATGCCAATCTGAATAGTTAAACAAGAAACCTTCTTTTTTTCTTTTGGAGCTTACGTTCAAACAGAAGGGGGTGATTTTGAAAAAAAAATGACTTGGGAATAAGTTACGATTTGCTTTTGTCTGGTGGTGTTTAAAAAATATAAAGATAATGTTTATTAGCTACCTGATAAAACACTTTGATAAAAATGTGCAGAATGTTCACTTCTAAAATATTTTTCTTTTCAGCCTTGTCAGACATTTTACCAAATTTGTCATGAAGCAGTGGGAAGGTTTATACAGTATGGAATTCTTGTAGTAGCAGAGGTAAGATGAATCATTTATCTTTATTTTTGGATCTGGCTCCTTGTCCTCTCCACCGTTTACTTTCTATGTTATCTCCTTATCAGTAGCGCTATGTAGAGGGAAAATCTTAGCCTGGAATAACTAGATTGTTAGTACTAGTTTTTACAGTATTGTGGGCACAGTATGAAAGCTACCTTGATGTGATCCATGACCTGTAGAACTTTATGTTCTAAGGTGAGATACCATGCATATATCATTCTGTTTTGTGATATTCCTCTGGCATAAGGGAATCTTTCCTGGGAGGACGGAGGTTCCCCAGTACTCAAGCCCCAACCAGAGATGCGACTATCAAAAGGGAAAGTCCCTATCTGGGGACCTGGTTTAAATGCCGTGAATAATGTTATAACAATGGCAGCCCAGCTAATGTTCAGTTTTATTGACAAATAATGAAGAAGAATGGGGGCGACGGAGGGGAGAAGGGAACTTGATATATGGGTCAGACATCTACATATTAACAAGACTAAAACCCACGTAAGGGTGGTGCTGTGTTGGAGAGCACAGAGACATAGGTCCATTCAGGTGGTTTATGTAAGTGGCAAGACTTGGTACTCTGGGAGTGGCATGCTTCAGGGAGGGGAGATTTGCTCCTGAGGAGGAAAGACCTTCTCCTGGGGAGGGGAGAGTTATTCTAGTGGAAGGGACATATACTCCAAAATAGCCTTCTGAGAGTGGAATACTTAAAGCCCTGTTTTAGGTGACTGCCTAGACCTGGGTGATTTGCATGTCAAAGTTCAGAGAACAAAGTTCAGGAATTTTACATGGGTGCAGGGGAGGAAGACAAACTGGGAGTTGGCAAGTAGCGTTTTTGGACACACAACTATCCATGCATAGATTCTATAAGGTACAACCTCCCTTATGGGGAGTTTGTTATGGTGGTCTTACAACATGTATGCATATGCAGTGTAATCAGTTGTTTTTTCACTAAGTAACCTCTTCTTCCTTAAAGTTCACTCAATCCTTAACTACTTCCCAGTAAAATTCTCTTAGCTACTCTCAGCTGACCTCAAGGATACTCTTCTTCTTTCCTCAATGTGTTCAAAACTCGACTTGGTCTTTCTCACATCCCCAACTCCTATCCTCATACTGTGGAACCTCAGAACATGTGTTGATACTCTCTCAAAGATCCTAGCCTCCCAGTTCCTCAACTTAACTCATTTCTTTGTGGCCTACTCCTCCATCTCACCTCAACTGCACACTGATTGATGTGTGATTTTGCCATCATCCACAGATGCACCATTCCTATGTTCATGAGTTCTGAAATTCCCTTTTCTGATCACAGTCTGTTGTCATTTCACCTCTCCTTCTCTCATTTTTGTCCTTACCATACCTTTCAGTCCATTGACCCCTCAATTCTTTCCCAAGCTATAAACTGTACAGTGGCTACCTTCTCTTCCATTCTCCACCTTGACCCTGATCCCTTAATGAACCTTACTTTCTCTCCTTATCCTAATTCCCTTGCTCCTCTCATCCTCTTGCTGCTCTTGTCTTGCCAAGCCTCAGCCTTGGATTATTCTCATCATCTTTTACTTTCACACCATTCACATGCTGATGAATGAAGCCAGAAAAAGTAATGAAACAATCTTGACTAGATCCACTACAGATTTATGTTACATAATCTCATCTAGGTCCTCATTGTGGTAAGGCAATCTTTTGACACCTCACTAATTGGCTCACTATCACATGGTAGTTTTTCTAAACTTTATCCTTCCTTAAACCTCCCGTTGCTTCTGCACTGTCCTCTCAGCTACTTCATATTTCACTGAAAAAAGTGAGACTGTTCCCCGAGAGCTTCTCCTTCTCACCTCCTCCTCATCTCATGTCACCTAGGTGCCTTCTCCAGCTATCCCCTCCTTTACTCCTATCTCACATGAAGAGATGGCCCTTGTCTTTGCCAAGGCAAAGCCCTCTACATACACAAGAGACCCCATTCAATCCCATCTTTTCCAGCAGATTGTCCCCTCTGTTATCCACACTCACTTTATTTTTAATTTCTCCCTATCTGCTGACTGCTTCCCTGCTGCTTACAAACATGTCCATGTCTCCTTTATCCTCAAAAAACCCTCACTTAATTCATCCTTGCTAGCTATTGTCCTGTGTCACATTCATCTTCCTAAAGTACGAGTCCCACCATGTCACCTCATTATTCAGTTCTCTATCATTTCCAGGATCAAATACAAAATATGGCTTTCAGAGCCCTACATTACTTCCCACCTCTCGCCCTTTCCAGGCTTTTTATACTGTCCTCCTCCACATACTCTTTGAGTGACTCTGGCCTCCTTGCTGTTCCTTACATAAGACAATCCATCTGCTGACTGCATGCATTTTTACTGGCTGCACCTTACACCTGGAATTCTCTCCCTCCTCCTCCTCTCTGCCTCCAGGCTTCCTTCAAGTCCCAGCTAAAATCTCACTCTCTGCAAGAAGCTTTCTAGTGCCTTCCCTCTGTTGATTTTTCTCTAGTTTCTCCTTGTTGATAGTTTATTTGTACATAGTTGTTTGCTTGTTGTCTGGCCTATTAGACTGGGAGCTCCTTGAGAGCAGAGACTATCTTTTAACTTGCTTTGTATCTCTGTTTCTTAGGTGGTACATTGTAGGTACTTAATAAATGCTTGTTGACTTGGTGACTAACTGATTAATTTTGATTTCAATTGTAGTTCTATTGATAGGGGTGTTATGGTGAATGTAGGCAAACAATTTGGGGGGCAGGATTGATTTCAGAATTATTTTACTTACTTTGGTTAGTTTTTCATAGGAATTTTAGCTAAGAAGCTGCTTCAAAATAGATAGAGAGGTTTGTAGCCTGGATCAGAGAAGGGTTCAGAAGGGACCAACAAACCTGTAGGTGTTGGTTGATTTAATTGGAACTCAACCCTTAAATATTTTCCTTTTTCTGTGTTGTATGTCTGTGCTTAGTGATCTCTGTTTGACTGTTGCACTTCTTTCCAATTTAGCAAGATGATCAAGAAGACATTAGCCCTGGTCTCACAGAACAGCCCTGGGACAAGAAACTTCCTGAGCCTTTGTCTTGGAGAAGTGATGAAGAAGATGAGGATAGTGATTTTGGTGAAGAGCAGAGAGATTGCTACCTAAAGGTATTTTTGTGTGAAATTTTGGAGTCTATGGCAGTGTGATGTTGGTGCAATTAAAAATAATGGCTCAGTTTATCAGTGTAAAGAAAATAAAGATTAGAAAAATCTGGAAGAATAGTATGTGCATAAAATCTTTTTGTTGATGGAAGGGTGTGTGTATGTGTGTGTGTGGGTGTGTCTATATGTGTCTCTGTGTGTCTACGTATATGATTTTTGCCTAGGTTAGGTACTGAAGTTTTCCCTTATTCCCCAGGCATAAGTGATCCTTTTGCGAGTTCCCATAGTACTTTGTATCTCATATGAACTTCCACACCCTGCTTTCTGGTTATTTGTGTCCAGAGAGATCATAAATTCTTTGAAGGCAAGGACAACATCATAGTCATCTTAATTCCCCTCAGCCTCTAGAACGTTGCCCTGTATAGACTTAGCGCTCAAAAAATGGAATTGCACCAAATTTAATTCTTTTCATTAAACGATTCTTAAAGCACTTACTATGTACTTGGCATTCTGCTTTGCACTGGTTCCATGACAAAAATGAAATGGCCACCTCCAGGGAGCTTACTACATTCTGTTGAATTGAAGCCTGTCCTTGTATCACATTCCTTGTTGCTTGTGAAAGTCACCGATTTCACATCTCTTCCTCTTACATGAACTCCAGAAGAACTGGCTCCAGGGGTCAGTATGGGGAAGTAGTGACATGGAAGTATCATGGTTCTGGAATTTGGTTTAGGCTCCATATTGGTTAGTCTCTGCTGGCACTATTTGGGTACTTGACTCAAAGATATTGTTGTTAGTTATTAATCCTTAGTGTCCTACTTCATGGCTGATGATTTCTAGTAAGTATATGTGTGTACAAAAATACCTTTTTTTAAAAAGTGATAAACAATATGGTGTCTTTTCTAGATTCAGCCTGTTTTTGAGTGGCTCTCTTAGTTATCCAAACAATATTCCTTTGAGATTCAGTTTACTTGTTTTTTAATAACTTTTCCTGTTATATTTTCCAGGTGAGCCAGTCCAAAGAACACCAGCAATTCCTTACTTTCTTGCAAAGCCTCCTCGGGCCTTTGTTAGAGGCCTATAGCTCAGCTGCCATCTTCATTCATAACTTCAGCGGCCCTGTCTCGGAACCAGAGTATCTGCAGAAGTTACACAAATACTTAATAACTAGAACGGAAAGAAATGTTGCTGTTTATGGTATGTCAAGTCATTTTTTTGAGAGGGGGTGAAGTTGGTGATAGAAATGGGGAAAGTAACTTTTATACTTTGATTTGTGAACATGATTTTAGAGTGTTGAAGCAACAGATAAGAAACTTGAATCCCAGAAACAGCGGCATGATTTGGTGAAGAAAGATGACAACAGTGGCCGAGCTAGGCACAGAGCTCTTACGATCCACAGGCTAGGGCTTTTTCCCTTCCACCATACTGACTTTCTGCTGATACTGGAAATCTAATGAGACCATGTTTCCCCTCTTAACCTCAATGTCTTCATTCCCCTTCCATACACAGCTGAGAGTGCTACGTATTGTCTTGTGAAGAATGCGGTGAAAATCTTCAAGGATATTGGGGTAGGTGTCCATTTCTGATATTGCAGAAATTTACTTTCAGTTTCATTCCACATGTTTTTAGTTGTAACTATAACATAAGCTACCCCTGCAGTTCTTGGGGGTGGGAGATGGGGATGGTATGTATATATGCTTTTTCAGGGTGACAAAGACATTTGTGAATGGCAGTGAGTGAGGACTATTTTATAGAATATTTTTTGGCCCATAATCTTGCTCCTTTCAAATGCTATTTCTCTTTAAGGCATCTTTGTAAATAACAAGTCTGTATGTCTTTAGCATCACACCAAAAATCGGCTAAGTTAGCAATTAGATTTGGTTTTTACGTTTACTTTTAAAATATGATTATCACTATTTCTATTACCATGTGGCCTCACCTTAGACTTGCTGCCATTCACTGTTATGTGTAAAATCAGTGAGGGGTAAGGGATGGCAGGACTGACTGATGATGAGAATTTTTGAGTCTATTGAAGTTTTAAGCTGCTGTTTTCAAGGCTATGTTCTGAAGGTTATTCATTCACAGTTGAAAGCATTCTCTGTTTGCTCAGATTTTCTTGAAATATTTTTTTCTGTATCTTTTCTTTGCCCTTCATATTCTGCTTTGTATTATACTTTATACTTGTACATGTAAAATGGAAGCTCCTTGAATACAGGAAATGTTATTTTCCATTTTTGTATCCCTGGCACTTAGCACAGTATTTTACTGTAATAGACAGCTAATTAATTTGAATTTACTCAAAGTAATAGACTAGTACAAAACTGTTGTTATTCAAAGTGGGGATTCACATTTCCTTTACCTTTGATGTCTTCGTGGTTGTTGAAGTGGCCAGGCCCCATAGGGTAAGTGGAAGGTCAGAGTGGAACAGAGATGTAATATGAGAAATTAACATGATCTGTTTCCTTTTCTTTTAGGTTTTCAAGGAGACAAAAGAAAAGAGAATATCAATTTTGGAACTAAGCAACACTTTTCTACCTCAGTGTAACCGGCAGAAACTACTAGAATATATTTTAAGCTTTGTTGTATTGTAGAAGAATGGTAGCACCTTTGCCTAAAGAGAAAAATACAGGGGGTGGGGGGTGGTGAGGCCAGCACAGTCTCCAGGACTGGCCCAACAGTTTGAGGTGCCATTATGTGGTAGGACCTTATCTGACTGGATCCACTGGAAGACAAGTGCCTTCTTCCCTCCATGGATTTGTGATAATCCTGATTCTGTGGTAATATAATAACCTACAGTTAACACTTGGATGTAGCCTCAGTTTGCAAATCAAAATAAGTAGACTTAAAAATGAAGTCTCAGTAAAATATTTTGGATTTTATTGAATAGCTACATTTTAAATAACTACTTTTAAAGTCTAATTACTGTGACTTTTGCAAAAATGTAGTGATAAGCAAAACCCCCAAGTGTATTTAGCAAACTTAGTGCTTTCAGCAAATCCACTAGGATTTTAATGCTTTTAAAAATAAGTTAAAATCATCCAATTCACTGACTTTTTTACTATCTTTAAAAAAAATAGAGTAATATAATTTTTCATATATGCACCTTTTATTTGAAAGCTCTTTAACAATTGAAGGGACTAATGCAAATTGTAGCCTGGGATCAATGTTGTTTTCTTTGGGGTCTGATATAGAAGGTGTTTTAGAGCTGCATGAAATGAAATAATAGCTTAGGTCAAGAAATTAAAATCATGATAAATAACATAGCAGGGAATAAACCAAGTAGGCAGAGTTCAAAAGGACCTGGTCGAGTATCTTTCACTTTTGCAAAAAGTGCCACTGAGTTTTTATTGACCATAGTATACAACTAATCATTCAGCTAGTGTTCAGGACCTCCTGTTTTATATTCTTCATGAGGTATGCACCTTTCACAGCAATGTGTCTCTTTACTTCTTTCTGAAGTATGAAGGAAATTGCCACCTTCTGGATTGTCCAGAATGGACTTATTTCAGTAGCATCTGAGTGCTTCTTGGGAGGCTCCCACCCAACCATGGATAACTTAGCTTGGCTTCTCCTCAGTTGATGAAATCTGAGCCTACAGTGCTATGGCTGGAGGGCTGCTGCCGTATGGTGGACACATTTGACTTTGTGAAAAACCCATGGTTCTTCAAAATTACAGGGAAATTACATGCCAAAATGTATCATGTTAAATGTTATTGAGACCACACAGTGGCAAATAATTATGAAAGGTTGTCTATTTGTAATAGGCATGTGCCATTTTGTTAGTAGACAGCATAATTGTATGTTAATTGCACTAATGGTGATGTTCCCTTAAGGATAATGTGACATTAAAATGTTTTGTAATGGCTTGCTACTCATTATCTCCATGGTATTATGAAATTGAGTTTTTTTCCCAGTGAATGTAGTGTATAGCCTTTTAATCTAATGTAAAATTACCGAGACTTGTTAATATTGACAACTTTGGTTTTAAACACTATTTAATAGTATCTCTTGAATGATCAGGGATTTTTGGATACATGTTAATAACTGGCATTACACAAAACTTTTCACTTAAAATGCCCAACAGTGATGCTGTAATCTTGTAATCCTTCTTCTTAAAGAGTCAAATTCCAAGTTAAATCACAACTTATTCTTCAATAATGTTTTCTGGAATACTAAGCAAACGGTTTTTTTGATAGTACACTAATCTAAAGTGTTTGTACCTCCTTTCTGGTCCTCTTGTGTTCCAAACCACTGTTCTAGAGGGGCGTGATGATGAAATTCATATTTTAATCTTCAAGATTATTAGCCAGGCTAGCAAGGAATGAACACATTTGCATTAGTTAGGACACTGCACTTGGAAGAAATACTTAGGGAAGCTTCCTTTTTTTTCTTAGTTTTGTTTTATATCTTGGCAATCAGACCTTTTTTTTTTTTTAAAGTTCTTCTTAAGGGATTTGAAGAAAGCCAGTGAACTCTACCCTTTTTTTAACTACCCAGATTTAAGTTCAAGACTTTCCCAGTTCTGTTGTAGTTTGCTGATAAGCTGATGTGGGAGATCCACAGCACAATCACTCCAGCAGAGATCTGCTGTGTACAGTGTAAGCTTGCTTTGAGGAATGGATAATAATAATTTGTCTTTTTGTTTCCCGTTGATACATTTAGATTCCACCTGTCCGCCCCTTCTCTCCCGCCTCCCCCCCACCCCCACCCCCACCCCCTGCCCCATGTCTTTTTTAGAAGTCCAGTCAAATGCTTTGGAAAGTGAAGCCAATGATCTTACCACTTAACTAAATCACTGTGAACATAATTATGCATGCTTTTTGTTATTAACAGGTGCTTTGAAAACTTTTTAAGAAAGAAAAATCTCAACCAAAGTTACACTAATTCAGAGATTCTGACACCAGAGATAGTTTTAGAATAATGCACTATTCAGTGCCTCAGTTACTGGAATACATTTAGTTCATTTGTAGTGAAACTGCAAAAGACAGAGCTCCATCCCACTTGACTGCAGCCAAAGCATACTCTTTGCTAACGAATATATTTTCTGTGTAATTTTTTCTTAAAGCTGGTGGTTTCCATTTAAGGCTAAACAAACTAGGTGCTTGTAAATACTTTGTTATGGTTTACTGTACTGCATGCACTTGTGTCCTCTGGGGGGAAGACTGTGAATGAAGAATAGACCAAGTAATGTGAAACTTCAGTCTTCTTAATGACAACATCCTGTGTAATTCAGACTAGCAGAGAAAGAATTACTTTTTTCCCTCTTAAAAACAACAAAAAAAATCTCCGACAGAATGAAATTGGTTGAACTAGAACAGAAAGTACTTCAATAGATTTCAGAATGAAAGAGTTGAGATGTGTGAGGAGAATACTGTCTAAATCTAGATTACTGTAAATTTAGATTGTGAGCAGTTTGGAAAAGATTTACTCCATGTTTTAGACACTAAAAAATCAGTGATAAAAGATGAAATCACACTGCAGCAAAAGGTAACTTGCATGCATTTTATATGATTGTGTTGCCTGTGATGGGTGTATATGTGAGGTGTGTATATATACATACACACACACACACACACATACACATAAAAAAAATTATATTTCCCCTAGAGTTAATAAGCACAGAAAACTATTGTGATATTGGCTTGCTAAAGTGAGAAGCCTTTCTTTTGGAGTGTTAGCCTCAAGGCTGGTTCATCTCAAAAATCTTGGATCTCTACTGAAAGTACAGAGCTATTGCTCTGATTTGGGGTAAATAGTGATATCCATAATGAGGACCTCGAAGTCAATTTTGGCATAGCTGAATTTAGATTGAAGTGAGCAAGTAGTTTTAGAATTGAGATAGAATGGAACCTGTTCATTGATTTTTGCTGATTCTAGTTTGGAGAAGTTAGAATGTAAAAATCAGTTTGGTTCTTTTTAGGAACTGGAGACTTGGTACCTTGCATTTTAGTTTAATAGAAACTAATGATTGCATTTTGAAAGAGAAATTTTGGACCTTGTTCTAATATCTCAAACTCTGAAATGCCTTGATGGCAATTTTTAAACTACTTGCCTGTTTCTGTATATAAAAACAACAAATTAATATTGTAAAAAAATATTGGTAGAAAATGTAAAAAAAATAACTGAGTCTGTGAACTAAACCAGTTTGGAAATGTTAGCCAATTTCTATGCCTGTTAAATGTCATGTCAGAAGCACAGAAATGTAGTTTTATTATAATAAATTACAAAGTCACAACATGTTTCATGTCTCTGCACTTTATTTTTGAGAGGTAGAGGGGAGAAGTTATTACTTAATTCCAAAGTGGGGTAGGATGGGGAGTGGAAGCACATCACTTGGAATCTTTTCATATTCCCCTCTGTTTTATACAAGTCATTACATTGTTAACATTTTTTTTTGAGTGACCTCTGTTTTCATTGGCACTGGGAATTCCTAGTGTGCAATGGTCTTCCACCAATACAGATTGGTAGCATCTCTGTAACAGTCTCAGCGTGTTGCCTGATGGCACTGAGAAGTTGTAACTTGCCGATAGTCAAATAGCTAGTAATATGCATCAGAAATGACTTGAAACCAGGTTTTCCTGACTCCAAGGCTGGCTATCTCTCCACTTTGCCGTATGCCTTCTCTTGTCAGAAACAAATCCTACTTATATTTATAAATGAAGCACGCACGCTATAGAGAGGGGTAGCTCTCTAGGCAGTTTCACTGAAGTTGGCTTTTGATATGCATGCATGTCTTTTATTTGTGTAATTTACTCTTGAAGGGGCACCAATGATCTGGCCAAATATCCTAGAATGCTAAAATATCAGAAGATTCAAGATACAATGAGAATTTTCAGTTTTGCAAAAGGATTCTTTTCAATGTGTACCTTCCTGTCTACTTAAGAGCTTATATTTAAACACAATACAAAATTAGGAAGGATAGGGAGGCTAAAGTATTAGGAGTCTCAGTGGTTACTATCAGTTGTTAAATTTGGCATTGAATGAAAACTTCCCATCAGAATGGAGGGAGATAATCTAACCTGTATGGTTTCATTTTTTATGGCATCTTTACTCTCCAAAAACAAAGTCCAATTCTTATAAACATTGACGTTGCAGGGGACAGGGAAGAAAGAGAAACATTAGCTTCTATGGCTGCTTCTATGATATTGACTTAGACAATGATGCTCTGTGTTCCTTGGATCACCACTAAATGAGGATAAATTACAAATAAAACCTCCCTTACATTGTGATAAACTGTTCATTTCTGAGAGGCCAGGGAAAAGGGAAGAGAAGGGTTTGGGGCCCATATAATGCTTATTTTTTTTTTAGCAGGTTTCGGTCACTATAGATGTACGTATATGTGTATATATGTTTCAAAGCATAAAAAAAAAATTCCATAGTTGATATTGTAGTGGCCTTTACTTAGTCTCCATATTCATTGCTGTCCTCTTCCTGTGCCTCTTCTGTACTATTTTTTTTTTCAGCCAAAGACAAGATTTATTAGAACATCTGTCATATTGGGCAGACTCTTAAGGAGTCTGAACATGGGTAAGCAGTGGTTAGATTATAAGACTCTAAGCAGTGGCTAGATTTTAAAAGAATCAGAGCCATGGCTAGATTTTAAGAATCTAAGCATCTTAATGGAGACAAGATGGACCTTATATACAGAAAGACTGTGGGAGGGATCCAGGAGTGGCCAAGTAGTCTGAGGAATATCTAGGAGTGGCCAAGTAGTCTATGAGGTAATAGAAGTCCAGGAAAATGGAGCCTAGGTGGGATCAAGGGTGGGAAGTGGCCTGGGGCCATAGGGAGGCAAGATAATGGAGGGCCAGGCTAGGTCAAGGATAACAGAATTGGGGGATTAGCTCTGTTTGGATTCAGATAATTCAGTTTTCCAACCATGCAGTATCAAATTCACCTCATAGCCAGACTCAGGAATAGCCAGGTGGGTAACATTCCCTTTCAAAGGAACATAATGGGGAAACTGAGCCAGGAGGATCCCATTTTAGACTAAAATTGTCCTATCAGCTTTTCCCATTGCTGACTTCCCACCAGTATCACCTTCTCTTAGTAGTTTGTGGCATTTCTCTCAGATGGTGGGTTATTGATTATCGATGTATTATGACCCATCAGACAACTCAAAATAAAATCCTATGAGCTTTTACCTCAAACAGCAAGTTTTACTAATCACAGCTTCAGGATTTACATCTCAAACTTAAATTTATCCTAATATAAAAGGCCAATCATTAGAGATTTCTATACACTTGCAAATTCTCAGCAAGCCATACATAACCCAAACAAACTTTTTGGCTTATTAACACATTAAAACAATAACCAACAATAGCTAAATTATTTTAGTGGTAACCAAATTATGAAAAGTTGCTTGACATAACTGATACAGAAAGTTCACTGATTTGAAACTTGAAACAAACCCATTACCAATCAGGTGACTTCAGTTTTGTTAAATGTACTTTCAAATTACTTTACACAGAGAATCAACATCTCATCTTAACAGTTAAAACTACAAATTTAAAAAAGCATGCTTACCCAAGTTCAGAGGCCAGCTTCTTTACCTTGAGCAGGATGTGCTGAACCTGGGTGATGCTTCCAGGCAAAAGTTGCCCCAGAGCCCAAGGCCATTGCCAGTGGGGCCCATGTTGTAGCTGCTGCACCTCCCCCCTCCTTCCTTTCCCAAGTGGGGGAGGGCGAAATCAAAAGTGAGGAGTAAACTCTTTTCTCCTATGAGTGGAGTTAACATACCCACTTGACTCAAGGGAAGGGAGTGGGAGAAAGGAGTGACCAGGGTTATAAGCAGGAGTTCTAAACTCCTTAATGATCAATCACAAAACCTCCAGTATCTGCCAAGATATTTTTGGCTTTTCTAACTTTCCC